TTAGGGTCCAATGATGTATGACAGACGCGCCTCTGCACTTTCGCTGAGCCCCAGGCAGACACAGAGGCAGGAGGTAATTTGTGAGGAATAAAGGAGATCAAAATTAGTCGATGAGAGTGTTCTAAACACTTTTATTTTATTCACCACATTTATTTTATTGCCATGACGTTAAATTCTTGGAAGGATTCTGCATAGGAACTAGCAAAAAATTCCAAATCTGCCTATCCTTCCCCATTTTTCAGGAAAAGAGGAATTCACTACAGCCCGGCGACATGACTGTTCAAAGCCTTCTACCCTACCAGTTGCCCTACTACCGTTCTTTTGGTGAGTCAGGGTACTGTGTCTTTAAAAAGGTGCAAAAATCAAAAAAAATTGTGTTCCACTAGGGCCACGTCTTTTGCAACAAAACCATCCCAAGGCGCCAACTTTCCGGGGGGGCGCACAGCATCTGGCCGGGCCAAAAGTCAACATTTATAGGCGGCATTTCCAATTAAGCGTAATCTAGGGGCCCCAACGGGCCTCAATTTAAAGGCCCAGTGGCTGGTGGGGGAGGCCCGGCTGGCTGGCCGACCCGGTGTCTGTCTGTCTTTCGGTCCGTGTGTGTGTCGAAGCAGAACCCCCCAAGGAAGAGCCACAACCCTCTACATCCCCTCACAGCACCCCCTCCCCCCTTTCCTCCCAAGTGCTAATTTCATTTGGGCGATTCTCGTCCGAAGGAACGGCCCGTTTTTCTTCATCCCCGATTTGGCTAAGCTGCAGTTTTTAAAGGGTTTTAAAGTGATTTTTTTGAAAAATTCGAGTTTGGGTCACTAACATACGGTAGTTTACTATAATTTCAAGTTGCTTACGGTAGGTATCCAGTCTCGATGGGTGTTTAGCAATGTGTGGTGAAGTAGCAGGCCGTTAAAGGGGTCAGGACGGCATACATATTTTAGCGTAAAATTAGCATACATCGACCTAGCTGCGCCTTGTTCGGGCCAATTCTTTTCTGCCCTCATTTGCATACCTTTTCCGATTGCCATTTTGCCAATTGTAGATCAGATCTAATCCACAGGGTCGTCTTTCTAATAAACTAACTTTTCGCTTTTCTGTATATTAGGTCTCGAGTGTTATATTATTATTGAAACCGACCAAAAATATCTTTTTTGAATCGAAGTTCTGCAGATCTATTTGCCAACCAACCACCAATTTTTAATTTGCAATGTTTGTACGCCCTCCTTCAGCGGCGGACGAAGCTCCAGCAAACGCAGAACCCATAATTCGCAACTCGTTTGAGGGCCCCCGGGGCGGCGCAATAAAGAAAAAGCGAGGTGTCTACCCAGGGGCCAAGGAATGAGATCGTCGGCTTTATGGTAGGGGGGTTGGAAGGGGGGAGGGGTTGTGATGTCAGTCGGTTGGTCAGACAACACACACTCCCTTTCGGGCTTTTCAATTGTATGCTAATTGTTGAGGAGTGGCGCGGCTTTTGAGTACACGATGCTGGTTTTTTGGCTCGAAGTTTTATAGGTGCGTATTAATTTTAAATAGTTACAATAGTTAAATAACGTGGTTTTAGTATTAGCTCGTCATAAACCAATAAAAATCTAATTTTATCGCTTAGGTACGAGAGGCGCTTAGAATACTTTTGGAACACCGGTTACCTTAAAAACTTGTTTTCACCTCATTCTTACCATTTTATTATTCTGGAGACAATAAAATGGGCCCTCTTCATCTTCCGTATTCCTTACCTCCTCACCTGTTATTCCACTGCTTTCCCGCTTCTTCCTCACTGTGGGCCTTGATGAAGCCTAATTAGGGCAAGTGCCGTCTCTCCACCTTTCGCCCATTATTGCCGTGCCCCCGGTCCCACCACTTCTTTCTCTACTCGGCTCCCTACAGGCATTATCCGTTTTATCTGAAAATGCACGTGTGCAGCTGTTGCCAAACTCGGCTGCATGATTTTTTTGGATTATTTTTGGGTCCGGCGCGGGCGATTCCGTGGTCGTTCAGATTTACGGGGTAGTGGGAAAGGATCTGGGGTTTTTTTCATTCTTGGCATCTTGCCAGTTAGATTTGAGGGTTTGAGTGGGGTGTTTGAGTGTCTCGCTCATCCTAAATTCTTTCTATTTGATCACGCTTCCGTTTCATATAAATTTCCAAATTTTGTATACAAAATATTAAAATAATGATTTTTTTTCTATGCACCGTTGCTGAAAAATAGCTTCGAATGTGTTTAGCCGGAAAAGGCGAAAATTTCGATAACCATAATCCCGACAGCTAGACGCCAAACAGCCAAAATCCCGACAGCCCATAACCTCCACGGTCACAACACCGACATTCCAAATTCTGTCGAATGGCCTGATTTTGGTTTTCGGGATTGTGGCCGACATTGGAGAGGATTTGGTTGATTGATGGGACCAGCTAGAATTCTTTATTATAAAGATCGCGTTACACCTCTGCAAATTCGCTCGTAACATTCTTAATCACACCCAAATCCCAGCCCCTATGTTCCCACAAATCACAGCTTTTCCTTCAACCTAAAAACCAGTGGCCCAGCCGAAAAGTAGAAATGTAGCCGATTTGTGTTTTTGCCCACGGTCCCCCCGGCCACCTCCTCCCCCCCGTTGTTGGCCATTGGCCCAACCTCTCACCATTCCCTCCGTTACCCGATTGTTTTCTCCGTGAGACCCATGCAGCCAATACCCCTATTTCGCCTCATCGTCCTATTTTATGGACGCGGAAATCAGGGTCCACATACCGTGTGCGCTCGTATTTTGGCGGATTCTGATTTCCGGTCGAGGTGCTCCAGGAAACGCGAGTAATCCGCGTTAGCTTATTTTGAAATGTTCTAGAATTTAACGTCCCGCGGATCAGACTAGGGTTTGGTCTATTTTTTACATTTTTATTTGGTTCATTTTTCATTGCAGTCATTAAATCCATCAGGCGCCGAATTGCACCTGCAATTTTGAATCGTGTATACGGAAATGAGATTCACGCATTTCGTTGTAGTACTGATTTCAAATTTGGATTTCTTGTCTTTTTGCGTTTCTTTTTATACCCGACTAGTTTTTCGAATTACAGAAAAGAAAGGTAGATTGAAATGGCGCTTCTGAAGAATAATTCCATGGATGGTGACCGTAGTCCGGTGAACCCATGCAATCATCTGCAACTTCCAAGACCTATATCTTGTGGAGGTGGGAGAATCAGAAATCAGAAGAGCAAATTTGTCAGAAAGTCGTTTGATAGTACGAGCCAATCGTTAATTACGGTTAGCTCGCTTGCAATTTGCAATACCGGGTAAAAAAAGCGCAAAATACGTTGGACTACTTTATAAATAAATTGATGGTATGAGTAAGTAGATTTTTGCTAAATCACCATATCCGAAAAAATATGCCTTTGAGGCAAATAACCTAATTTACATACTTTTTTCAGGCACAACCCTCTCCAGCTCACTCTCCATCCTTCCCGACAAAAGGTTCGTGATATCAAAGATCTTCGAAACCAAGCACCATATATTTGCCTTTGACTCCCCCGATATCCATCCCATTCGTCTTGTCGAATTACAATATTCCGTGGGGGACCCCCGGGCCGAGAATTGGATGCCCCGAAAGATTGATCGACCACCGCCCCAGTTTTGCCGATATATTTCTTAGCCCCGACCTCCATCTATCGGTTTTCCGACCATTTTTCAACCCAAAACTTGGGATGAATTTTTTATGTCGCGCTGATCCCTGAATTTCATTATGGGAATTTAGAGAGGGGGGTGGAGCGGAAAGCTCTTGACGGGATTCATTTCCAAAAAGGTCTAGTTCAGTTTTATGCCCCGAAGCCAGCACTGCCATGAGAATCCCCCATAATTTGGCAAGAGGGAGGGAGATGGGGTCCCGAGCTTGAAGAATTCCATGCCTCCCCCCATCCGGAACCGCCAATTCCGACCGGTGTCCAAATCACGGCTTGTCTCCGGGGGAGAGAGAATTTTTCGCAGCTGTGAAGGTCTTGGAATAGGTCGCGGATGCGTTTCTGGTTGTTCATTTACGGGCTTTTTTAGTTGATCTCGCCTAGCTGTTATTGTAACTGGTTTGATTTTTAGCGGGGGCTGGGGAACGCGTACAGAAGAACTAGCGTTGACGCGTTTTTGGAGCCGTCTGCCACGCGTCAGTACAATTTGAATTCTTGGCTATTTGCGCAATATATATGGTTTTTGTTTTCGTTCGGGGGAATGGTCTGTTCGATCCTTTGCAACTGGAAATAGCTTCTTTAGGCTTTAGACCTTCAGTTGAGATACGGTAGAATTTTCAGAACAACCTGACTTTAAGCAAAAAATTCCAAAAATGAGCGAATTCGAAAGCTACTAGCAATAAAAACTCTTAACTTTTACCATTCAAGCACCAATTTACCTAATTGACCTCAATATTTTTAACCAAACTCATTTGTGTTCTATTTCTAATGTTGCCCTCTAGCCTCAGGGAATCCCCGACGGATTTCCAGACGATAATCCCGAGCTTTTCTCCCGCCAGCCTTTTTCCATTCCCCCCTAGTCGCTCTCACTTGTTCCCCCTCAACCACCAAAATCCAATTTTAACTCCCAGAAAGTTTGCCCACCAAGAGTTCAGCACCCCCAGAAACTCGACTTTTGCCCACTCTTGTATCGAAATGATCATCCATTTCGAAGCATCACCATAAAATTGGGCTCGGCTTCTCTCCATTCCCACCCATGCACTTCATTAATGGTTAATTGAGCAGCCTAGCGGGTTTTCTAAAGTATTCCATCGTTGCTGACCGGCCGGTTGGACACCTTCTTTTTAGGGCCACGTCATTCATGGACCGGGGCTCTAATTTTGGAGATGTTTTTGTGCCGTTTTTGCCGGGATTTGGCCTAGCCCGCCCGACTTAAGGTCTGGACCGGGCAGGTGACTGGTAGATGGGTAATTGTAGGCGGGTGATTAGCTAAAAATATACGATATAGAGTTTTTAAATTAATTAAATTTGAAATTTTGCACTCTCTTCCTCAATTTTTTCCGATGTACTACGAGCTACAAATTAAAATCCAGAGCCGATGGATCGTCTCCACGCAATCCTTGCCCATTCTGGCTCGGACCCAAATCGTGGTTTCCTTCGTGATCGTCATTCTGTTCATGGAGCTCGTCGGGGAAATTATCAGACGTCGCTTGACGATCCTGATCGGCCATCAAGTCATCGCAGATCTCGAAAGGGCCCCAGGCCTAATCAACCCTTTTTACGGCACTATCACTCGTTCCATGGATCACCCTCCAGTCTTAATAGAAGGTTCTCAACAGAAAATTACTGAATTACATAGAACGCCTTTTCAAACGGTTTGAGAATCCGAAGATCACCAAATTTCCCTAGAGCCCTTTGCAGTACGGTCCCCAATTTTACCTTAACTTAACAAAGTGTGAAACATGCAATCTATTCTTCCAAATATCCACCGAAAGACAAAAGAAAACATATAAAATACCTAGTATATTTAGCAATCAATATCTATTTTTGGAATAATTTCAGTGGCTCCACTCCGACACCCGGCCATCCAAGAGTTCTCGTCAAAGGACACACCACGGGTGGAACTCCAAGGCAATTGTGAGTCCTTTTTACCGTTTGAGTCCCACGCTTTTCAATCTGTTTTTGAATCTACAATGTTCTCTAGAGCAAAATGCTGCAATTAAAATATTCCTTTTCTCTAATCCCCTGAATGTTCGCGTGAAATTTGGGAACGTCGGCTATACAGCTCAATAACACCGTGGTCTTTCCGGCAATTCAGCGATAAACTATGATGTTTCTATTTCCATGTCCATTTAGGCCGGGAAATTTGGTCCGAATCGTTCCCCGCGGTTAGCAACATATCCGGTAGAAAATCATATTACGAGGTCCGAGAGACAACCGCTAACGACTCGAGCCTTCCCCTCCTCAATTCCCACATTTTCCAATTTCTTTTGCTCGCGGCTTTTCATCCCCGGGTCTATGCAGCCCGTTCTTTCATTTTCGCCGGCGGAGCACAATCAAGCGGGGTGCCGTTAAATTGTGCTTTTTCGCTTTCGGGGGTCTTAAAATCGGGGCATCCTATGCATTCGAATGAGCAAATCTGCATAGCATACATTTTTGGATCAAGGGTAATCAAGGATCTCCTTAAATCCTGTAGATTCTGTAGAATTGTCGCCCTATGAACCAAAAATTAGATTCTCGAAATTTCCGCGTTCTGTCCGGATTTTTGAAAATTGGGCAATTATTTTCGGCTGCCATTTACATCTGATTTTTCATCTTATTTCAGATAAAAAAAATTTCAGTTTCTTTTCAGTATTTACATCTGATTTTTCACTTGAATGCTCGCCGTCCCATGACGTATTTTCTGAAAATCTGGATATCATTTCCTACAAAAACACTTTCTTTCCACCCGATTTCACCTCCTTGACTCTAGGCATTCCCCTGGGGTTCTATATCCATGTCCGAAAAAAAATGTGCTAATCGCATCTACGACCCGTAGGCGTGACTAATTCATTGAAGCTCCTGCAGTTGGCTCAGAATATTTCAGGGTGTTATTTGCTCGCCTGGCCAGACTTCTGTAGTAGCATCGCCCCAGGCAGAAGCGGCTGTCAAGCTTTTGAGAAATTTATGGCGGAATTGGGCTGGGGGGTTTTGTCACGTTAAAAAGTGGTTGATGTGGTCGAGGGGATGGGCCAGATGGGGTGAATGGGCAGGTCTCCTTTGCAAAATTCAAATTTAGCCTTGGAATTCCGGAGAAACAGGTTCTTTTCATTTTTCTTTATCTTTGTGTCTTTCTATTTGCTAACGATGCAAAATTCAATAAAAAACTGTGTCCAAAAATGTGCAAAATTGAGGTTAGCCTTTTACATTAAGATTAGTCGAGCCAGGGCAACCGGATGTTATTTGCGGTCATAGACTACACTGCACTACTTCAAAAACGCTCAATGTAATCGATTAAAACAATAAACTACTTAACTTTTTTACAAACTGCCTTTTCTAGCGCCCACGATCATAAACTAAAAATACACCTAGCCCACTTGCCACCGTTTCTAGACCGAAATTCCATTTAATTGCACCAGGTGCTTTTTGTATCCGCCGGCATGTGCAATTGGAATTGTTGGCAGCGGGGTGAGATAGGCAACCATTTTTTGGATATTAGAATGGATGCTCTGGGTCTAGTGCTCCGGAAAAAGGGCGAATGACTGGCTGTCACGCTCCTCATCCGAATACAGCATGACCCGATCCCGGAACCAATGGAGGGTGTTTTTCGATTCCAAATTTTTTTTGGATATTTCAAATTTTGGCCTCGTCATTTGCAAGTTTTGGTTAATATTTTTCGGCGACAAATATAAAGGTTTCTCCCGTTTTTCGAAATCTCAAAATTTGAAAGAGATTTTCTTTTAATCGGTTATGATGTTTCCGATGTTTTAACTTTACGAGAAAATCTAGCATCGCTTGGGGGTTTAATCAAGTTTTAACTTTTTATTAAATTTTCCTAATATTTTTATGGAAAACAAGAAAGTTTGCATTTTTCGAATGCCACTGGGCGGCAAAAAAGAGACTCCCGCCGATTTTCATGCAAAAAAATTGGAGTTTGGAATATGAACCAAAAGCAATTAGAGCTTCGTATTTGAACGTGGTTTTATTTAAGTGGGTCCAACTTAACTACAATGGATACCGTGACTTCTAGCGCTACCCACTTCCCGGTATTGCCTTGGAATTTTCGAACCCCCATAGCATTTTTCAGCAATAAATCCGTCACCAAAAGGATGGTCGTTTCACCCCCACCCCGGATGGACTCAATTTGATGAGTCCTTACTACTTACTACCCTACAGAAAAGATATGGGCCAACCGCCACCTTCCCCTCACTCACACTGGGTCCCGCCACGGAGAAATCACATTCTAGCGCTCTCCCCCCACCCGTCCTAATTGACTTTTCCGCTCGGTGGCCATGCCCTGCCAACCCCATCCTGCCCTGTGGTGCTTGAGTATTTTTAATTTCACGGTTTTTAGCATTTTCTGTACATTTATTTATATTAACGAGCTTGTATCAGAAAATACCGAATACGTTGTTTAAGGGGGCTCTGTCAGCAGCGCCACTTTTGTCCGTCAATCGTGGAAAAATTTGCATGCGGCTATGGCTAGATAGCGCTCCCTCGGGAGAGATGCAGACGTCCGGATGCGAATTTTCCCCATCATTCATGGAAAAATGGCCGTGCTCTCCAAGCACCTTTAAAGGGATCGAGAACTCCTGTTGTATCTGATCCTTTATGGAGAGAAGCGCTGCTAGGAACCACCCAAATGGAGGTAATCGTCCACGAAATTATTTAAATTGATTCCGCCTCGACATTCCAGCGCTGCAAAAAAACTAGTTTTTCCTTATAGCGTAATTTCTTGGATTTAATGCAACGGAACCAATTTCCAACGAGACTTATTTTTCATTTGTTGGGACACATTTGTCTTCTCGTCCATTTGTTATTCAACCACCCATTTTGGAGGCGGGTGGCTCATCGGCGGAAGTCTTGCTTTTGAATATTCAGTTCTAATCCCGGGTTGCTTTATCGGGTTATGGCCTCCCTGCAGCAATTAACTGCTTTTAAGTTTAATTATTGCCTCCGAAAATGCCAACTTTCTGATTTTTCATTCGATGCCTGGCTGTGGCCTAGGGCCAACACAACCAGCGGGTATTTTTGCGTGAAAACGAATTCCTTTTGAAATGGATAACCCTTAGCCAAGCCAACCATAGAAACCTTTATCTATAAATTATTAAAGGCACTCATTTCCGATGTTTGGTGTTGCATTACATGGCGCTCATTTTTTTTTCCTGGTACCAGGAATCTGTCTCGAGAAAAATTCAGGAAACGGCTGTTGTTCTGACCCGTAAACAGTGTCTCATGTACTCTTTTGTTTTATCAAAGAGACAAGAACGCCCCTAGGGGGGGAGTTGGCTTCCGACATTCGATCCTTTTTGCATGGCTTTGGAAGCCTCACTAATTTCTTTCATTTGCTTTAATTGAAAACTTAAGCCTTTAACTTAAACTTTAACTTTAATTGGAAATTAAGACCTAAAGGTTTAGTAAATGTCGCAATCTTACTGCGATTTTCGTTTCTTTTTTCTGATGCAGTTAATGAGAACTAATAAAAAAATAGTGTTTGTGTGTGTGTGTGTGCCACTTTGCATGCAACTTCCGTCAGCGTGTTCCAGTAGTATCTCAATAAGGGGGGTAGTTAGGGATATGTTTTATACCTCATTAGGTGCGTAATGGTCTGGAGATGACTGCACACATATCAAATTTTACAAAATTAGCTATTTTCAACGTTAAATTTAAGTTTTTGTAAAAATTTCGGACACCCTCTTTGTTAGGAAAAAATTAACATCCACCGGAAGTGATTATAGCCTATATAATGGGAGAGAGACCGCGTTTTCTTTTTTTTGCCATCTGAATTCGGGAAAATGATGTAAAGTGAAGAATTTCATGGGATCAGACGGGGCCAGGGTTGAAAAGTCGCGAAGCGGCTTTTCAACCCTGGTGAGAACTAATTAGACACAAAAATCGCGCTTTTTTAATACAAATTAAGCTATATTGCCTAACACTACGATTTACCATGCATTCTTCACCGTTTATGGCGCATTTTATTATTAAACAAAGTTATCTAGTTAGCCAAATGGTATCTTACAACGCTTGTTAATTGTCTCTTAAGTTAGCCGATTAATTATAGTTCTGATCCTCCAATGTTTGTCTTGATTTTCTTCAAAGTCTTCTCCGAGTTTTCCTTGTATTAACAATAATATTTTGGTGATGTCGGACGAATCACCCGAAACCGACGAATTTTCCTACGAACCTATGGAAACGCTGGCAGGCTCGCGGCCAGCAGCCCGGCGTTTCTCCCGTGGCGCCCTCGTGGGCGCATGGGGTGGCCGACGTCGCAAGAAGTTTTCCGACTCAGTCCTACATGCTTATTATGGCCCTATCGTACGACCGAACCATTCGCCATACGGCCAACCGGTTCTGCAGGGGTACGGTAGAAGGGCCAAGGCTAGATTGGGGTCGTACAGCTCAAAATGATACTTTAAAGTACCTGAATTTACATATCTCTTTCAGCTCGACCGCCAGCACTCTTAATCGGCGCCATGGGAGAAGCTGTGATCTACACGAAGTACAAGCCGAGGGCGCCGAGTTCAAGCCGCTGTTCAATAACCCCATCGCACAGGTCAGAATTTTTGGTTTTTAGTGGCTTTTGCCATCAAACATCTAAAAAGGAGGAGTCGGCGTTTCACCTGCCGACCGGTGTGATCGATTATTATTCTAGTGTTTCAGAATGTGTCTGTTGGTATTCTGCGTATTTTGTGAGAGGTTTTGTAGTTCGTAGTTTTGATGTATCTCGTAGTCGTAGAGATGTTTCGCATATGGACGCGGCGTCAGCATAACGGGCCGGCTCGGATACAAAGCTCGAGAGTTGAGACATTGAGCTTTTCACTACAATTTTTGTAGAGAGTATACTTTCCACATCCATTGCTGCTCTCTCTCTCTTTCTCTCTCTCTCTCTCTCTCTCTCTCTCTTTCTCTTTATCTCTCTATCGATCTCTTTCACTCTTTCACTCACTCTCTCTCTCTCTCTCTCTCTCTCTCTCTCTTGTCTCTCTTTCTCTCCAGTGTAACCTCTCCAGTTTTGACCCTGCAAAACTTAAATTAAATTTATTTTGCAAATCTAGCTTTGTTTTCACAGTCACACCTCTCGCGAGCACCCAATAAAATTGTGATCCATAATTCAAATAAAGTTGGGGGGTGTCGGGTGGTGGTGGAGGGCTAGAAGTGCTCATCCGGGGCCATATGTCCACCCATTTGCCCCTTTTTTGTGTTATTTCGTTGTGAGGCGGCACCCACTCAAGCCCGCAGCGGCCTCAGAAGCGCCGGGCGTTGCTCGTTGAGCCCTGTCTCGCTGTTAGATATTTCTCGGGGTTTGATGTATGTATTCAAGGGCCGGGCGTGATGGTGTTCATCGCTCCATATTTGTTGTAGTTTTAGGAATATTCCTCATTTTTTTTAAATTGATTGTTTCTGTGGCGAGTGTTGAAAACCCGTCTTTTTAAAAATAGATTTTCGTAGATTTTTATAGATAGATAGGCCATAGAATTAAACATAGATAGACTAAATTTCTTGTGGGGGATTTTAACCACCCGGAAAATAGCATGCTTAGGTTTTCCATCTCTTTCGATGTTGCCCAGCAGCCCTTAAATGTCTCTTCCGAAATTCAGTGCTATTGGAGGGTTGGCTGTGGGGTTGGTTGTGTGCCCGGTGTCGGTAATGAGTTCCGTGGATGAGGTGTCGATGTGGCTCTCCCCTCTGCCCAGATTCGGCTCCCTCCTCCTCCCTGGATCGTGAAACACGACACCCTAAATCTATGCTTTTTCCCTTTAACCCAATCCTGGCTTTCCTTTTTTCTTTTTGCAATTGTTAGACCAATTCTGGGGGCTCCCCCACTAGTTTGGCATCATGCATAGGAACGTGCTAAAACTTTATAATTTAGCCGTTTGTGGCTGTATACAAATCTTGCCGTGCTTTTGCACACCACTCATTTTTCATTCCTGGACCCATCCTAGAAAACGCCTCCCCTCGCGCCCATCCACCCGAAAACATGGACACTTTTGATTTCATGCCGAGAATTTCCGGGTCAACCCTTTTCGGGGGTGGGTTGCGTGTAGCTGCAGGCTAAGAGTGGGCCCTGGTTTAAGCTCATGGCCCAAATACTTGAGGGTACTGATTTATGGCTTCTCATGGAAAGAAGAACAAAGTGTCCAACCCGGACCACCCTAAACCTTTCCGCTTTTGGAGACATAGTAGGCCTTGATTTTTTTACTTGGTTTTTTTTTGATGTTTTAAATAGAGGTTTGATTGCTCTGGAAACATTTAGGGTATATTGAGGTTTCCGTTTCGCACCCGCTTTAGGCTCGGAAAGTCATGAATTGGCTTGTTAGCTCTAGTTTTATTAATTATGACTTGTTTCTGCTTTTGCCGAAATTGCAGGATATTCTCGATTGCTATCCAAAAAGGGTTGTTCATTGATGCTTGCGAACAGGTCCGTCCTTTTTCGCCGAGCCCCCATCCCAGGCCGCTCTCTATCTGTCAATTATTCACATTGTTCCCGGAAGCTCTCCCAGAAGCCCTTCAAATCGTTCGCCTCTTATTTTTCATTTTTTTGCGATTCCAGATATTGCATTATTCGGGGCACCCCTTTTTAAGGATCGAGCTCTGAACTAAAGCCTAAGCTAACAAGGAGTCGTTTTTAGGTGATATTGGAGTTTTTGAACGAGACCTAGCTAGTTCGATAGAGAAAAAAATTCTGAACAAGATGTCGTTTTCCAAATCTGCTAACCGTGTACGCTGTTCAATAAAAATTAATTTGAAAATCATTAATCTAACCATCATTTTCCGCCTGTTCCGCAGATTCTGCGCTCTGGGTGCGCGTCAACATAGCCCCCTTTAGGCCTCCCTCCAGCCATGACCAGCTGGCCTATTGGTAGTGCGCTTGCTTCATAAGTTTTTGTCTTTTTTTTGCCAGCGGGTTCGACTCCTAGCTAGTAAGACTCTTTTGCTTTTTGCTCGATAATGCCAAATTCGATTTCAATGGCCTGAAAAACCAAAAAGCAAAACAATAAATCACAATAAGTTCCGAACCCTGGGCATATTTTTGCAAAAGTTGCATAATTTTGCACTATCCACTAGGCCACGATCTCATGCGGATGCTGGATCGCGCTATGGGCTATGTCCCCGGCCAGATCCATGGGTCGCAGCTTGACGTCCAGAAATTTTTTCATCAAAATTAATTTTTATTGAATACAATACATGGTTAGCAGATTTGGAAAACGACATCTTGTTCAGAATTTTTTTCTCTATCGAACTAGCTAGGTCTCGTTCAAAAACTCCAATATCACCCAAAAACGACTCCTTGTAAGCCTAAGCCTACACGTAAACCTAAGCCTACGCCTACATATAAGGTGTTTTGCTGCTTTAACGCCCGCTTCTGTTTTTTGCAGTAAAAATGACGTGGTAAAGGATGTGTGTAAATTTTGGAACCAGGGGCAAATCCGATGAGATTCGATTCTAGGAGGCCGCGGGGTTCTGTTGCCCTCTTCACACCACCAAACGGCTCAATCGAGTTTTCAGCAAAAAGCAACGGGGGAAACTTTCGTCTTTTGGTTTGACTGGAATGTGGGCAAACCTCGGAAATGTTTTGTTGCAGCGTAGTTGTTTTGACTTCTTACTTTATTTCTGTTAGTCCTAAAGTTTGGCTTATCTACGTTTATGGGTTTTTTTTCATATAAACTTCGTTTATATGTTAAAAATAAAAATTTAAATTGAACAAAAATATCCGTTGTCATATGCCACTAATCTATCAACCAAGTTTAGAAACCTATCAACTACCAAAAATGTCACATTTCCTCTCCCCTCCCTCTCATTTCCCGAGTCTACGGAACCGGAGCCATATCGCAACTCCATGTTTTTCCGGCGGAAATCGGTACCGTAACCCTGAAAATTCACACAAAAAGAACCCTCATATCCGATCACGAACCAGAAGACTCCAATTCTAACCCTACCCTTCTTTCATTCGGCAAAAAGCCGTCCCATTCCACCATCCTTGAAGACCATTTTTTCGTATAGAATTCGCGGGCCGGAATATTGTAGCGGGTTTTTGCCGGATTTCGGTGGCCCAAACTGCTCTCGGCCAGACTGTTTGCGCAGCCTATAATGTCGTGGGAGAATGGGTCACCGTTCGGAAAACGGGGAGCCCGAGATTTCTTGGGATTACGGTCAAACGGGACTGGATGAGGCATCGGTTGGAAGAGAGATCAAGGAGGCCAATTTTTGGGTGATTTTGGCATCGTTTTTAACTAAAAGCATTGGTGGGTAGATTAAGGGGCGATACAAGATTAGTCTGGCAGAAAATGGCGTTGTTAGGCGCAGTCGGAACAACATGGAGTGCAGTAGTTGGGGGTAGGGCAAAATATGAAAATTAGCTCTCATAGCCTTTCTTTTACTTTCATTTTTCTACAGTTGTCCCACATTTTTGTTCTCTCTCTCAGTCTCTCTCTCTCTCTCTCTCTCTCTCTCTCTCTCTCATCGTATGGCAATTCTAAAGGTACCACCACCCTCCCAGATGGGCATGGAACCGTTGAGTGAAGAGCGTACATCGAGCGTGGACTCATCGGGATCATCATGTTCTGGGGATTGGGCACATGGAGATGAAAGAGATGAAGATGTTGAATTAGCTACATCATTGATGAGAATTCCGGGCGAAACCTCATATTCAAGGATGGCTCGAAGGAGGACAGATCCTCGCAAGAAAAATCCGGAAAAACGCACTCGTGATCGAGCGGCTAGCATGTTCTCGGTACTCAAATAGTCTGTAAATCAGTTTGTATGTCCGTAGATTTAAAAAAAATTAACTATTTGTTTTATGACAAAAGCCATAGAAAACTAAGCCTCTGGAATTTTAAGTTGTAAATTCAATTAATAATTAATTCAAATTAATATTTTCAGGTGTCCTCCGATATCCTGAAAGTGCAAGGCTACTCCACACAATTTCGGTCATTACTATCAGCCCGGTAAGTAATAAGTAAATTATTGCTAATATTCTGGTTTAGATTATCACCACGTCGAGACTCCGTACCCAACGTCCACATCCAAGATTCAAACACGGAATTGGAAACGAAAAGTGGGTGAACAGGGGCTAGAGGCATTCGGAACAAAACCAATAAAACAAAAAAAAAAATCGCGGGAAAAAGGCTTTGGGTTTGTGCAGGCTCTTCCGCTCAAAAACAAGGGGCGCGCGGGATAACAACATCTGCGCGCTTCTGAGGCGCTCATTAGTGTGTCGAGATGCTGATAAAGACTATTTGGCGCGCACTACCTGCCAAATATGTCAAAATTCAAGGTATTTACGTTCCGATTCTGCTTGCTTGAAAAATCCTTGAAATACTAATCGATATCTCGAGCTGAGCGTTAGGCCGACACCTTCCTTGCTCCTTAAAACTATGCAAGACGTCACCTCATAAAAACCCGCAAAATTTATTACTGGGTGGCCCCTCCTAAAAATTACTGGTTCCGCGTGAGGGGGCAAATGTTGAGCACCTGAATGGCGGGCAAAGGGCCAGTCTTCTGCCGAATGGGACAATGGGACGGAAGTGTCGAAGGGGGGGCATGGAGCACCACCACCGACTCTGCCTCCTCGTCGTTTCTCGCCCGTTCTCTGTCTTTCTGTTGCATTCCATTCATTTGTCAGTCAATTTTCGAGTCTTTTTTTGGGAAAAGTTGTTCCGGAAATGGGAGTAGTTTTATGAATGGATTGGAGTTCTATAATGCAACAATTTTAAAGGCATGGATACTATGGAATTTTTCGGTTTTATTTGTAAGATTTGAAAATGTGTGCTTAAAATAGAAGTAATTTTTACCGGGATATTAAAAATTTGAGATTTTTTGTTTGTACTAAGCATTTATAGCCGATTCTGTTCGGAGGGTCGTCTGTTCAGTGTTTATATTTAAATTGTTTTTACAAAGTACATTGGATCAAATAAAGACATCCGTAAAAATATTTTGTTACTAGAAACGTAAGTAATACTAAATTTATGCATTTTGGTTTTATCAAGTGTCTTTCTTCCTTTTTGCAACCTTTTCCGCTTCACAAATTCCACTATCCCGAATTGTTATATCTCTTCATCCCCTTATTACTAACCCCCCACATTCCGTCTAACACCCGATCACAACCGGCTCTCCAAAACAAAAGGCGTCCAGGCTGAGATTGTAGGTATTGCGGGCCCGCCGACGGCGGTTTATCCACTTTTCTTGTATAGGGCCTCCTGGTGTGTTGAGTGGACAGCCAATGTGTCTCTCGCTCGTTCCCCCTCCTTTTCTAACCGGTTGCCATGGAATTGGCCGGGATTATTAGATGAAGATCGGAGCCCCTCCCCATATATGTCTTTCTCAGCCTCCTGGCTCTTTTCCGATACACTCGGTCACAGCCGTTCTCTCGTTCCTGTCGACTACCGTATTCCCGAGAGTGGATGAAGCCCTTTTTTTGTCTGGGTATTCATAATGCGATTCATAGGGTCTATTGTCAGATTGGGGGTACTTCCGGTTTGGAAATAGGTTATTTATCGGAGGGTTATAGGAGTGTAGTTTGGTGTTAGAGGAAGTTGGCTTTCGCAGATCTATCGAAGAAATTCAGAACCGTTTTCTAAAAGTTATTTAACGGGCTGAGGTATCATGGGCACGTACTAATGATAAGATGCTTCTTATATACAAGTTGTTAGTAAGGACTTGGGTAAAATTTTTGTAATCACCTAGCGTTCACATCACGGTGGTTCGAACCTGACCAGTGCCGAAAATCTTTGATTTTTGGTCAGATGATGAATTAAATCAGAAAGTAAAAATTCAACAACCTGTCCCGATCCCGTTAATCTTTTTCACTTCCCACTTCCTGATGACTTTATGACTCATCTAATCTACCTTCTGACCCCCACCCAATTCTTTCGAGCCCAAATCCAAAACACGTCTGTCTCCTCCTACTTACCTTCCTCCCCCTTTTCCTTTTTATTCCTCCCTGCATTCCAAATATTCCAGAGAGCCTCAGGGCATTGGCTCGTGTTTTTTGAGCACGCCCTGCCTTGCCATGAGCCCCATATTTGCTTTCCCATATAGTCATTAGCGACGATTCCCACGAAACACCCACCACCACCCAAACTCTCCCTCTGTCTTTCTCTTGCTCACTGCACGATACGGATTCGTTGTGGAAAGTTTGCTCAATTCTAGAGAATCCCACAAATCTTTGAAGGGATTTTCAGAATTCCAAGCCCTCCGCCAATGCCCTGAAAATTGGCAATAAGCCAATTTGCACCTGGCAAACAGCCGTTGCACACTTTTCAGGCATCACCCTTTAATATATTCCCGTTTTGATTGTCATTGAGACCCAATCCCGGATCATCCCCCCTCTAAAGTCACTGGAAGAATTTTACTTGGAGATTATTGAAAATGCGCAAAAACTCTTATCCCCAGATTTGCTTGGATAAATCGAAAAAATATAGGCGCGCTGAACCGTGGGGTTTTGATCCGGGTTTTAGACAGATTAACCCTCCTGTCCCGTTCTCTCAGTCATCCCTATTTTTCTAAGGGGTTCTTCGAATTGGATCAGGAGCGTGAGGGGCTTCATTTGGAGTCAGGCGGGATTTCATTTCTTTTGTTTGAATTTTCAAAGAGGATACGATAGGCTAGTGGGATGGATTTCAAGTAAGACGTTGGTTCAAAATTTCCGAATTTCTAGACAGATCGTGTCTTTTCACAATGTTAAGCGCCCTCGATATGACAAAAGGTATGATCTTGCTGAGCAAAACACAGTATCAGTTTAATGTTACGGCAATATGAGGGTATGGTTTTTCTAAATAATTTATCAATTGGTTTTTAAATGTTTAAGGGATTTTGGGGCTGAAGATCCCTGTCAAAACCTGATTTCTGAATTAATCCCAAACTTTTTCATGCACTTTTCCACCCCTTCATCAATTGGCGGGGGCTTCCCTCAATTCCTATATTTAGTCTAAAAGACGTATGTCCCGTTGCTTTTTAGAAATTCTCTATCTGGAGCGACTTTTCGGGGGTGGCGATCGGTTGGAGATTTTGCGTGTGGTTCATTTGCGCGCTGAGCTCGGCTTCAAATGAGGTCATTTGTTGTGCTAGCGCACACAAATATTCAAAAGGGAGCGTCTTGAATTTTATGTTTCAGCTTTATTTATAGCTGAGAATACATTTTAAATTAATTCTAATGATTTCATAAAGCGCCGGAAAATTCAATAAAATTTAATTTTAAAAGATAAGGAGTAAAAGTTTTTTGTAGCAATACATAATTCATAGCAATTCCTTACCGCGCGTTTTAATTGAATTTGAAGCGTTAGAATTACTGTAACCGAAATTTTTAACGGATTTCATATTCCTTCAAGAATCTAACAAGAACCCCCCCCCCCCCTCAAAACAACCAACCTACCCCCTGTACCTATTTTTAGTATTCCACTGTACCAACCTCACCCCCGATATCAACAAGTTAACGTGAAGTAAATGTAATTCGATTTAGCATGACCAGATGCCCCCATATGGTACGTGTGTAAGTGGTGTGGTAAGATTTATGGTGAATTTGCCCGCTGCCCTCCCGATTTCTCGGGGGCCCTAAGTGGAAAATGGTCTCACCTGGCGGGCCCCGCATTTATGAAATCATTTTGCGGAGACTCGGGGCGAAGGGAAAGGGGATGACGGGTTTGGTTCTGGAGGGGGGGGGGGGGCTAATCCCTCTAACCCGTGAGCTATGAGATCAGAATTCCCTTTCTCATCTAGACAAAAAGTCAAATGGGCAGAAGGTTCGGTTTTGAATTCTCATCCCCCGTCATTGGGACCCACATGACCCACAGACCCGCACCGGCACAACAATCCGGTATTGTCACCACAAAAAGCCGGCGGTGAGGTGCTGCTGATTGTTTTTGTGACTGTGTTCGATATGAATTCTGGGTATAATGGTGGCGTATTCATGAAATTGAGTGCTATTTAGGAGGTGTTTTTTCATTTGTAGTTGGGTAGGGCCGGCCTGAAAACGTACTTTAAAAGTAGAATATTGTTTTAGACGTTGCTCCGCAGCAAAAACTAATATTAAATTATCGCCTGTATTTTTTGATTTCCTATCTGTTGACCAAGACCAGCGCCCACAACACTATCCAATATGGATGTAACATAGTGGTTGCCAACCTTGCCCCAAAAAACGATCCCTCGTTAGGTATTCCAATCTCGTTCCGAAAAATCGACTTTAACGCGAACTCTGAGATCCCTCAACTTGAAGTGAATCTAGAAAAATGTCCCACGAACGAACCTATCAATTTTTCATTACATTTTCCATCGCCCGCCCATCAACTCCTTGCTTCGTTTTCACTGCATAAATAAACATCCAGATTTCTTAATTCCTACCCGATCGCAAATAATTTATTGTGTTCTCAGGATAAATTCGTGTTTTGTTATTTATTTATCTAACCGCTACAGATGTCGTAACGAAGAATGGTTGAACAACAATCGGATCCGGCCAATTTTGCCGACTTCTCCTACTTTGATCGCGTTCGTGAATCATCACTGGACCGAAAGGATTCTCAAAACGGCTTATTGTTCCGCCAGGCGGCTTTCTACGGACCGACACCGCCTCTTTTGGGATTAGATGGGAGCCCACCACCTGATGAACCCATTCCAACATCATCAAGGCAGTCACAACATAATAGCTGCCATGATGTACACGATTGTTGTCGACCAACAACGACTGTCATTGGAGGGCCCACCACGCAAGTATGTAGCTTTTTTTAGCTTCACTAGGCCTTTAAAATGGTGTTATTGGTGAAATAGCGTCTGAAACTATACCGTATTTCCTTTAAGATATGGTTTTAATTTTTCCATGCCTTGAAAAAATTCTTCTATTGGAAAAATCCGCCAAAGTCAAGATTCGACTGTTTAAAATAAGTTTTATAGTTTAAAGTTTAAAATTACTGAACACACAAACAATATTTAGACATTTAAATATTAAAATGTGATCTTTTTGAAAACGTGAAAATTGAATTTGAGTCAAAGCTGAAAATTTTCAAATCTTAACGCAATTTCAACACCTTCTTTCCGGACTTATAATAATCCCTATTTGAAGGAAATACGTTAACAACAACCTTTCTCTCATTCCCACGATCCACAGCTCAAAAAACGCGGTTTCTCATAGCACCATTTTTTGGCACACTTTGAAAATCGGATACCAACTTCTATATAGGTATACGTGAACTGCTATCCGGGCAAACCACTCCGTTCCTCCCTCTATCGACCTGCCGTCCCAAAGCAGTCATCACAGGGCTATTGCTCAAGACAATCCTCACTTCTAAGAGATTCTGACGGAGCGTCTGCCATTACGGTTCGACAGGTAAGATTCCACTTAAAAACAACAATTATCATTGCATTTGTAGGTGTCTCGTGGCTCTCGGAGCACCCTTCGCTCGGGTACCTCCTGCGAGCGTAAAGAGTCTTCGATTGGTCATCTACCGTACTCGCCCCGAATTCCATTGCTCCATCCGCAGCGCAAATTCTCATCGGTTGACAACGGATACGTGTCGAGGAATTATTACGAATCCATCGATCGTTATCTACCCTATGAGCTGACGGCGATGAGTATGAAGAAACGGCGGGGATCACGGTTTCCCTCAATTGATAGTGGGGGTTTTAGAGTTTTGAAAACATTTTTTTAATCAAGTTAAAAATTTTTAAAATTAGGAGGTTAAAGGTATCGATTTTGACCGATTTCCTGGTCCTTTACCGCTCTAAACTGCCTAAATCCCTAATATTATCGTGGTCACGCACACGCAAAATTCTTACTTCACATTTTCTAAATTCTCAGAACTATTTCGATAGATTTTACCATATTTATACAAGAGGAACTACGGTCCCGTAGCTAGAAGCTTGACGTTTAGCGCCGCCTAAATAACTCCAACCAGAAAAGTTTTTTGACCGGTTGCGCGGGGGCGCTGTAGAGACATGTTTTGAGCTTTTGAAGATGGCCCCTCGGGATTCGAGGCGGGCTATGAGAAACCGACAAATAGCCCCAAGGCATAGCTGGCGGAAGGAGGGGGGAAGATCCTCATTCTTCCCACCTCGAACACTTCCCATGGTGGCCCTTATTTTGCACTTTATTTTCAGCGTTCTTAAGCTTTAGCCGTCTGACAGCTGAATATTTCGATATTCTGTGAGGGGATCAGAAATGTCCATAAGTCCAGAGCATAAAACATGTTTTGTTCTGAAAATTAGCAAAATCTGCGCTGGTATATTTTTCTCCTTCACAGCTTAGAAAATTTTCACAATTTTCTAATGATTCCTCCTGAATTCATCGATTTTCTTACCCCTGCCTTCTGTTTTTCGTACCATAACGCAGGTGTACTATCTACATAAAATCACAAAATTCCGAATCCAAATCTGGACAAACATTATCCGTTTGTTATTGTCTTCAATCCCCTCTCTCTTCGGGTCACCGAGCGAGGATAATCATCTCCAAGTCAAATCCGTACTAAACCGGCTTGGTGTCCATCCATTTGACGCACAACCCGTGCTCAATATCGTCGGATTCCGGGCCCTCCAGGGCCCTGAGCCGGCCGCCCCGTCTTCCCCCCTTAATCTCTACCCACCACCCCCGTGCTCGACCCAAAATATATTCAAATCCTCCCGGCCGGCAGGCTTAAGGGAGACGTAGCAACATATTTCAGTTGCTAGAAGCTCCTTTTACTTCTAGCAGAGTTTTGGAAATCAATTTTGACATTTAGTTTTTTACGCATTCCTGTTTTCACAGCCTAAGCCTAAGCCAAAGCCTTCTGAAACGCCAAATTCAACCAGATTTCTCCTTCATTTTTCAAGCCTCAGATGCAATTTTTTCAAGCAATCGTGAGGCCCATCCCTTTCGAAATATTGCCTTGAGGGCAAACACTAAACCCGTGATATTGCTTTCCACCACCACCCGATCAAACCCCAGCTCTATATTGGAAATTTCCGGGCCCTATCTGCAAGCTCTTCAATTTTCGGCAACGCACCAGTTTTTCGAGTGACTAGCCTTTCCTCACTTTTCCACCTCTCCCCATTCCAGCAGATGTTTCTATCGCCGAAAAAAGAGAAAAACGTGAGCGTGACGATCTACGAATTGTTGGAAGACCTGCTCACTCATCACAAACGGATCACGCTATTGACAAGTAGCGCTTTGAATAGCACCAAAATGGAGGGTGGGGGAAATTAATTGGTATATTTTTGGTTGATCAGAACAGAATTAGTGACCCGGACATGTGGCGCATCTGGGAGAATGTCGCAATGTGAGGCATTAATAGAGATGTGCGGGTGGGGGCATGGCGGCTAGACATTAAAAAAGTTGCAGTTTTGGGGGAGGAGAATTTGATCAGATATCCGTAAATTTTCAAGTAGGGATACTGTAGCATCCATAATTTGGTTTAGGTAGGTAGGTAAGTAGGTATACTGTAGGATTCAAGGTCTTTTAGGCGTTAGTATGGTTTTCTTAGTTTTTTGGTCGTTCATCACTACTGGAAAATCGCGATTCCGCAAATTTCATGACGATATTCGGAATTAGCTCAAAATAAAGTTTCTCTCAACTTCTTAAACCCTGGAGGACACCACAAAAATGCCTCCTTGTCGGTCTAAATCTGAGCTTACACCTAAGCCTAAGCCTAAGCCTAAGCCTAAGCATAAGCCTAAGCCTAGGTATAAGCTATAGTCATTCCCAATTCCCCACATGACCTAGTCCTTTTTTTATCTGCAACACACATATAACTCGATAGTTTGCCTGAACACTGGCTTCCCAACTGAACGTTTCATATCTCTCCACGTCGAGTACCCCTCACCAGCACGTCATCCCAAAGAAGGCCCCCAAAAGCCCCCCAGTGGCCCCCCTGAAATAAACTCAAACAAAGGGCCCTTCGAGCCCTTCGAGGGCCCCTCCCCATCCCATTATTCGAATCGTGGAAAGCCACTGCTATACCCCCGTGGGGCCCTATCCGGTTACAGTCAGGGCCCCATGGGGGGCGCCTCGAATGGCCTCGCGCAGGCGATGGGCCCTCCCATGGGCTAAAACTTATCCAATTAACCTCGACCGGCCCTCCGTTCTCGTCATTCCCTCCGCGTTCAGTACCAATATTCCCAAATGAAGGGCGGTTGGTAAATTCCCGGGTTTTCGTGAGGTACTCTCGATGAGGACGATTTTGGAGATATTACGTAAGAAATTGGTTATTTAAAAGGATTAGCTTTTTAGTAAAACGATACCGTAAAAATAAATGGGCCCAAAAAGCGTAAACTTCGATAAAATACAGTAATCGCGGGGCCGAATCCAGAAAATGTTTTTATAATTAATAATATTAATTGAAACAATTTTAGACGAGAAACATGTGAATGGAGGCGTGCGTTTCGACGCGGAAACGGGCGGTGAGCCCAAGCAGCGATCGGCAAGTACCGTACGAGTTATCCGACGCCGTCAAAGTGGATATGGCATCGCCATTTCTAGGTAATTTTCTTCTTTTCCTATACTTCGAAAATACTTGGATCAGTCACTTAAGTTTCGCTTAGGCCGCTGAATTTTAAAGGGATAGGCACAACATGAGAAAACAAAAAATTATTCCAGAAAAATGTTCAATAATTACGCAAATTGAACTCCTCAATTTTATGTCGCTATCCCTTTAAAATGCTTTCTTTTGCTGCTGGCTCCTGAATATAAAATTCTCAAACTTGTCCAAATCAAAACAATAACTAAATATCGGATTTGGTTGTGAAGCCACCTTTTTGGCCCCATCCAAAAAAAAACGTTGTTCCCGAAAATTCCGAAACCCTTGTAGCGATGAGGAAAGGGCGCCAATCCTCGACGTGATCAGGTATCCTAACAACATTCGAATTTCCCCCCGAATTTTCCATTTTTTGCATTTCTCCCCCCGGATTTTCTTTCCTCGCGTGCATCACCTGTATTTGAGTCATTGCCGTGGCACTGTAGCTCAGTTTGCAATTATTATTTTTGCATTTTCTGCTTTTGCAAGGCTAACATTTTTCCATAGATTCTAGCCAGCAATTTTCGAGCCTCGATTTTCCAGGACTAACCCCTTGATTTGGTAGCACGGTCGATATAACCGTAGGCAAACAAATTTTTAAAGCTCATGGGTCTTCTTGAATTCTCGATTTTTCGTTGAAGGCGCGTCTTGCTGTTGACCACGAGTGGCTTCTACGGTTTCCATGGCAGACAAAAATTGGGGGCACCCTGTGAGCGAATTGAATTTTTGAGAGGGGCAAGCTATATGCGGGGAGCCGAGGGAAAAGCCGCGATTTTCGGATACAAAAATGAGGGGCCGCTGATGACGAGATTGTGGGAAATTACCCCCGGGAGGGCTGGTGGGCCAGGCCACCCCCTTGTGATCCGCCCCGGGAATCTCGTTATTTCCGGAAAATTCCTGTTGACGAGCCCTTGTGTGGGAATCTTATACGCTTGCGCGTACAAATTCTCACCGCTCCACTCCAGCAATCAACCCTCACTTTTTTTTTTGTTTCCAGCCCGGGTAGCCAGTTGGTCAAAACAGGATTTATGTGATTTATTGATCCGATTTTTAAGATGTTACGGTAGGTATTGCAAATGGGAGTAAAAGTTGATTAGGCGGGCTAGGGAGCTGTCTTTTTGAAATAGGGAAATCACTGCAACGTATTTTTTGCGTGCGTTGCGCATAAAAACGAATTTTGGTAAGGCTCCAAATGACATCCCACCGGGCCGGAACTTTTGGCTGCCCCTGGTTGTTTGGGGATTGTAAAGTATATCAAAATGTGCGGGTTTGTCTGGCGAGTATTTTGGTATACTTAACAGACCTGTAGGCTAAAGGATAGCCGAGATAGATTAGCTAGTTGACGGCTGGGGGGGGGGGGATACCTGGAGTTCAGCCTAAATTTTTTATCTATTTAAGTTAGTAGCTGTTACCATAGGTAGTAAGATGTGTCATAGAAATTCTGCAGTGATACCCTAGTATGGAATTCAACTCCTTAGTCAGTTGATAGTGGCCCTAAGCGAACCGAACAATCCTTGGGAACACCTCTAGCCAGCGCTCTCCTCTCAAAAATTGATTTCCAAACCCCTTGAATTGAGTGGAATTTGGACCTTCAGCCCCCACGCAAAAAGGGCCCCCCTTTCCGAAATTTCTCATTTCCAAAAGGAAGAAAAGAAGGAACCCCGGGGTGTCCGGGCGGACAAGACGGCATTGGGTGTAGATTGGGTGTGCCGCGCCGGCCATCATACATTTTGGATAGGTGTCGAACCCTCTGAAAAGGAGGGCCCACCTCTACACCCGTTCCACCCATTCCTCTATCCTCACAATCACCCCTTCCTTCCGACCAAATTCGTATTGAATTCGTGGGGCGCTGTAGGCAAATGGACACTCTATTCCCGACACCATTCTATAGTCTTCTCTCTAAAGAGTGGGTTCTCATTAATCAATTAGTTCTTAGGGCGGCGAATAAAATTCAAAATTCACTTTAGTTGTGATTCCCAGTGCCATAGCACAAGCCACAGGACCAAAAACATACCTTCACAAGGAGTCTCATAAAACTATTCCAAACTCCGGAAATTAGCGTCAAACCTTGAATTAGCGACTACGGTAGAATCCGTGCGTCGCTCCGACTCATCGAATAAGGGATTAGGAAGCTCTTGCTCGCCGGATTAAATCAGAATTCTTGGAAAAATAGAAGAGCAAGAGGGTTGCCCGTCTCGAACTCCCTGAAATATCGCCGGAAATCGCATTTGTTCAGTGAATCGACGGCCAAGATGCGATGCCGGATGCGGAAGTTGTTGTTTATTCGCAGGAATAAGGTATTGTGGTCATACTTTAATAGAAAGCTTGTAAAACTAGCAAAAACTGTATATCGATAAGGATAAAATTTTTCAGATTTGCGATTTATCGCTGATATTGGCAATTGCGGGTCTGTTGCTGATTGTTGTCGATTCTGAATTGACGGCGTTAAAAGCGGTGACAGGTGTTGACAAGGTACAAACTATAATCTTATTTCACACTTACTTACGTAGAAAATAAAACTATTTAGAAAACTTACGTCTGCCGGCAATATCCAAGAGTTATTAATTTTTCAGACTCATTGGGCATCTCTACTACTCCGTGGTGCCGCCGTAATGACTACACTATCTCTAATGGCCTGTCTCTGCAATTATCATGCCATCGAAGTGACTTCACAGTCCCTTTAAAATAACCAAGAGTCTAGGTAAAAATTGCGCTGATAGACTCGGGTGCGGATGATTGGAGGGTGGCATTAAGTACGGATCGAATATTGAAATTGACGCTGGAATTGGTTGTTTGTTCTATATGTCCTTTTCCAGGTTTGTATTGCAATAGAAAATTAAAATTATATTCATCTTTAGGGACTGGTTCTGTTGCATGGCCCTTCATATCACCCGAAACGAGAAAAGTAACGATGATACAGGTACCGAAAATTTATCCAAAAAGGTAAAAACGCAAAATTTTAAGGTGCCAGTTGATGTGCTACTGTCGGTGCCAATGTTCTTGAGAAGCTACCTTCTATGTCGTTTTATGGTCCTCCACAGCAAACAGTTCCAAGACGCAGCTACCCGCTCTATCGCCGCCCTGAACCGTATTTCCATGGATTTCCGATTTGTTATAAAAACGATGATGTCCGAGCATCCGCTTCGAGTGGGTTTCTTAAACGCGCAACTTTTTATTGATCATAGACCCTAAATTCCTACATCTTTTTAGGTTCTTATTGTTTTCACCGTGACTTATTGGGTGTGTATGAGTTGGATGTTTACGCAATGCGAGCGGTATTTTAATGAAAAATTGAGTAAGGGGAGTAGTTTTAGATATGACGGGAAGCTGGATACGGAGCATTACTATATGAACTCAATGTGGTTCATCATGGTTACGTTCATGTCGATCGGTTATGGTGATATTGTTCCAAATACGTATTGTGGACGGACCTTGTCAATTGCTACGGGGATTGTGGTAAGCAGGAACTTAAGGATAAGCCTAATCCTTAATAGTATGACTTGTAAGTAACAATAGCTTCAAAAAATATGTGGATAAATTCATAGATAATATATAAATAAAGGCATTAGTCTCAGCCATAAATAAACTTGTATCTACGATATAATGTAACGTTTTAGGGAGCTGGTGTCTCCTCAGCTCTCATCGCCGTCATCTCCCGTAAACTGGAATTATCTCGAGCTGAGAAACACGTCAACAACTTCATGGCCGATTCAAAATTGACCAACCAGCGCAAAAACGCGGCAGCCTCCGTCCTCCAGGAAACGTGGTTTATCCATAAGTTCAAGAAATCGACGAACAAGGGCGATGAACTTCGACTCCGCCACCATCAACGAAGGTATCAGCAAATTTTGTTTTGAAAATTGATTCGTTTTAGATTCCTACATTCTATCAACGAATTTCGGCGTATCAAATGGGATCAACGAAAACTGCAGGAGAAGGGGAACTCACTGCTTGATGTCGGGAAACTGCATGCGGATATGCATGAGACACTTTGGGAAATGCATCGTACCCAGGACCATTTTATAACGCAGGTATCGGTTGTAGTTTGAGTATGAAATTCACTGATGATTAGGTGGATCTGCTGACGCAGAAGATTGTGGAGCTGCAGAATACGTTGTTGCTCCAGGGTGGGCGAATCCCACCGCCATTGCCTTCACAAGGGAGTACGGCTCACAGTACGCCGCAACCAAATCTGATACCACCGGTGGGTTGAGAGAGAGAGAGAGAGAGAGAGAGAGAGAGAGTGATAGTGATAGAGTGAGAGAGTGAGAGTGATAGAGTGAGAGAGCGAGAGAGAGCGAGACATACAGGGAGAGATATTTCAGTATTCAGTATGTCAAAATATGTGGACCCAATTCTATCCCAAAAAAATTGATATTAAATACTTAACAAAATTTGGGCATTTGGAAATTGAAAAACAAAATGTCGAAAAAATGTTGATATTCTGTTAACAATCCCTTTTTTAGAGCTTCTCCCTCTCCCGCTTAAACGTGCCAGGCGGAAGCCAACTAAATTCTCCAAGCGGTTCTTCCCAGGCCATCGTACCCAGCCAATCACTCACCAACACCGCCCCATCCTCCTTCAGTAATCAACCATTCGCTGGACCATGCGGTAAGTCTACAAAAAACTATATACCTTCAAATCCATTACAGTAACCACCGAAACGCACCAAATGACGTCCCCCAACCCACTAAACCCAGCAAGCTACTCGAGTTCTAATGGCGCAGCTTTTCCCAAATAACCCCAGCGCCCCCTTGCTGCATTCAGTCGAAAATGAATAATTTGGCCACATCTCTCTCTATATCTTGCGTCGTCATTGTCGTAGCCTCTTGTACAGGTCTCAACCCCCCGGTTTGTGATATCTAGTCCACACATTTCCACCAATCAATCCGCTTCCGAATCCCTTTAAAATCCCTGCAGTATTGAAACGATGTCGAATCCATCGGGTACCTGAGGATTTCCAATTGATCTTTTCTTTCCCGCCCTTCCCCCTAATTTCCTTTTTCATTTTTAATGTTGCTATGAAGATTATATTTGCACGAATCGCCATATCATTCATTGCTTGATACAGAAATAGTTTGACCGGAATGATTTTATTGATATCCCGATGCGTAAGGTTTTCGATTTTGTATGGAGGCAGAGAATGCATAAATTTATTATGGTTTGATAAAGTTACACTTGAATATGAGAGAGAGAATGAGAGAGAGAGAGGGAGAGAGAGAATAAGAGAGAGAATGAGAGAGAGAGAGTGAGAGAGAGAGCGAGAATGAGAGAGAGGGAGAGAGAATGAGAGAGGGAATGAGAGAGATAGAGAGAGAGAGAGAGAGAGAGAGAGAGAGAGAGAGAGAGAGCTAGGCAACAAATTCTCCACACATTGTATGCGAACTATCATTTGCGATGGCCTTGTACATTCAAGAAAGTTGAGCGTTAAATTAAGCCAAATATCCATATAACAACAACCACCCGTAAATCACAAGATTGAAATTAGAATAACTAAAGACCGTTTGAAATTATGGCTTCAACTTCCCAATGCAACACTCTTCCAACTTTTTCTCAATCATCTTCCATGCAAACCCATGCGCACCGACCCTTGGAAGTGTCATTGTAGCATCCTGGAATTTAAGCTATATTATCATTTTAAGTATACACTACCTTCCCCGCTTTCCTCAACATTGCCGACCCTCCAGGATGTTGTTGGTAGTAACTTGTCATGTTGTAAACCTATTCAAACATTGCAGACAAATCAAAACTACCTTATTGCCATAAATAATCCACAAATCGTCGGCCGTACAGTGTCGTGCAACCTCATTAACGGAATATTCCTTTAATTCGGGAGCCATTGAAATTTGGTGAAAATGAGATGGTGAGGTGTGTAGATCGATTCGAGGGCCAGGTGTCTCCGGGCTAAGCCGCCATTTCCGGGAATGTCTAACGAGGATGCGGCCAAGATGGCGGGCGTTGTCAAGTCGTGTGGTTGGTACTTGGTGCTAAATTTTGGGGGATTATTGAAAGCCGGAAGTAGGAAGAAAAGTGAGACGTCTTATACTGATAAAAGTCTTATAAAATATATATGTAAAAGTAGCCTAATAAGATCCTCACAAAAATTCCTAAATATCTCAATTAATACGTAGTCAATTCGGAAAATTTCCGATTTTACGCATAAAGAGTATAAAAATAGCAAAGTACCGTTGAACCCTAAAAATTCACTTTGTACTTTGAACTTTCCAGTGTTGTCTAGTTTTCCAAACATCTATTTTTTTTGGTCGTATTAGTTGTAGGGCTCTTTCTATTTTATTTCTACAGTATCCCTGGCAATTTCGATATTTTTAAGGACTTCATGCCTTTTTAAGATTATTTACACCCGTCGGAATGTATGGCCTTGGAATCGCTTTCAAAGTAGCGCCACCCGCAGCAGCCGATAAAGGGTTCAATTTCGGGCGGAGAAAATCAAGGGGGTTAGAGAAAAAAGTGGGGTCCCCCGTGAACAGCCGGTGCACAATCGCCCTCCTGTCGACCCCCTTCCAGTTTACGGCATGCTTTTCGTATTTTTGGACAGATCGCGTTAGCTGGTCAATTTTCTTTGCCGGCTTTATTACATATATATTTTAATGTTTTTAAGTTTGTTTTGGAATAGATAAATTTTTTTAAATAATGGTAAAATTCTAAAGAACCGGTATATTTAGGTAAAAGCGCCGGTCGTCCAAAGAGACTAAATGGCGCTCCTTTACGGGATATTGTCAATTGCAATTTCTATCCTCACAATCCTTCATTTCTACTCCCGGCTGGTCGCCCGCAGACCGAGATTCCACTCTAAAGACGGGAAATTCCGAGATTTCGTTGAACAACATGTTCCGATTCTGCAGCAGGTATTTTCAAAACCTTTACAGCCTTATTGCTGTTAATCTAATTAGCTGTTAATCAAAATTTTTTCCAATTAAGCCATAACCCTTAATTCACACTCGAATCAATAAGGGGCGAATGCCCGAGAAAGGCTCTCTTTGCCAAGGAAATATCGCACCACCTGGGAATTGGGCAGCGCGTCGGACGGGCGATAAATAATGTTTTTTGTTGTTATTCGAGATGCATGCGCCATAATTGAAGTGGTTACATGGTTTATAGCGTTACTAGGTAAAAACTGCAATCACAGTAACGAAGCTGTAAACTTATTTTAAACCCTTTCAGATCTACGAGCCATGCTGGTGGTGTCCATGGGGAATCCCGCAAACACTGTTTCGCGTTCTTTTGAGGTAAATCTTATAGAAAATGGTTATTTTTATAGTTTTTACTAGTGATAAGCTTCAAAGTTAAATAAAGCTGCTTGTTACTTTAGCAAGAATTTGGGAATTATGGCTAATTCCTCAAAAAAAATGTTCGCCGATAATTTTCAGTTGACTTATAGCTGTCAATTATCGCTATTAAACTATTAACTTTGTAAGCTACTATCTTTTCAAAAATAAGCCATAGAGCAGCTTCTGTGGGAGTCATAAGCCAAGAATGGTGCGCGGTTCGGCCCTTCTCCCTTCCACCCTTCCCTGTCAGGTCGTGCTGGTGGAGCAGTGGTATAAATGGTTTGGCACCGGCACGACCGTAGCCAAGCTCCTGGGTTCAATTCCGGGCCAGCACTACCCCTTTTGCTTTTTGGCCAGTAGATTTGTGAATACCAGTGGAGGCCAGCAATTCACAGATTTTTTGGAAGTTCTTTTTCCTGAAGCTGTAATAGTGATTTATTTGGCTTGGCAGGCCCTCATTGGAGATTTATGAGGAAATGTAGATAACTTTTAATTACTCCAAGTATAGTTTTGGCACCATTTCAGACGCCTTCCAAAACTTCCGTTCGAGCGTGAGATCGTAGAACTGAATGATGGTGGCTGTCTGGCTATTGATTGGCTGCATCCAAAGAATGGGAACCAGGATACCCCAATTCTGTTGATGCTTCCAGGTTTGACTACGGTACGCTAGAATGTACGATTAGGGCAGGGATGACGAGCTCAACTCATGATTGTGCTTACATTTTGTACTCGGCACGACTGGCTAACCGCAAGGGATATCGGGTACGTTGCGGTACGCCAATTTTTCAAGCATTTTAGGTGATCGTCGTTAATCCACGTGGTCTTGGAGGGGTTCCATTAAAAACAGCGAGAACCTATAACCCTTCAAAAATTGATGATCTTGAGACGGTGATCACGGTCAGCATTTTGCTTTAATAACAACTTCATATTTTTTAGTTAGTAACTAAAAAATACCCATCAGCTCGTAAAATGGGTGCCGGCTTCAGCTTGGGTGGAATGTCCCTCTTCAACTATCTGAGTGCAAAGTGCAAGGTATCAGCTTTTAAAATCGGCTAGGATCTCCCGCTAGAATACGGTAGGCCTCCATGCCGCCATGATCATCTCCTCGCCGTGGGACCCAATCGAGGCGTCATTTGTCAACGAGCGTTTCTGGCCTAGGATCTTGTTCAACAAATTTTTGGCCGGAGTCTTGCGTGACTACGTGAAGCCGTACAAGTAGGGGGGGGGGGGGGGGGTGATTTAAGGAGAAAAAATGTAGCAAATGGTTAAGGCATCTATTCGAAGACAAATTTGACTGGGACCGAGCGATGAATTTGAAGAGCGTCCGAGAATATGACCATTTCGTCACAGCACCACTTTTTGGGCATAATGACTGGGCAGAATACTATCACCAAGTCAGCACAAAAATTTTTTAGATATCTTAGTCTTTTAGGCCTCGCTATATCATCATCATAAAATCCATGGCATCCCGGTGCCGACATTATGCCTAAATGCTCGAGACGACTGCTTCAGCCCGTTGTCTAGTATTCCGTTTAAAGAGGTCTTTATCAAATTACGAATACCAAATAAAAACATGTCATTTTTTAGATCCAAAACACAAAAAATTTGGTGTCGGTGACGACAAAACACGGTGGCCACCTCGCTTTTATGAGATCTGGAAACCCATCGGCTTTGGGACTCGACGAAATGGCACTTTCTCAGTTCTCAGATGCTGTTTTTAAATCGGATTATGATCATCTAGTCTAATAAAAGTCTAATCTAATCTTAAACTACGCGACTGCACTTTTAAAAAACATCAACGATTCAAAGGAGCAGTCGAAGACAAAGCATACAAGTACGGAGGTCGTTCCCTGCCATTCAAAGAAATTCAAATTCGTCGAACCAAACTAGATCATCAAAAATCGGCTAGTGACTGGAGTAGAGAGAACATCGCACTTTGTTGGTCTTCAAGCGTGATTATTTCGGGGGGGTATTTCGGCAAATAGGGCATATCTCTCTTTTCCGATCTCAATTCCAACAGAACGTTCTGGCGACCGGCAGTCCATTTGGCGAGCACCGATCACCAGGTCAAAAGGTTAGGCAAAAGATGCTGACAATCAAAGAGAGGACAAAGAATTACGAGGACGAAAGATGCTGCTTAGAATGGATGGACTAGAGAATGACGAGTGCCACCATCGAACTCGTTGCGCTTTTGGAGGAGAGGGAGGGGATCCGATCCAATGGGGGATGGATGGGTATAAAAGTTGAATGTTGGAACCGGGAGATCAGACAATCAGGTCGTCTTCAAGAAGGAATGCATTCTCTACTTGTTCTACTCCTTGTTTTGGCTATGGTAATGGCTGTAGCTGCTCAATGGGGATATGGATATCCTTATGGTGGATACGGTGGATACGGAGGATATGGAGGATATTATGGCCGACCGTGGCGTAGGTTTTTAAATTATTTGAAAGGATATTTTGTATATTCAATATTAATATTTAAAACATTTTTTTATTGCAGATCATCATCACCATCATCACCATGGATGGTGGGGACGCAAGTAGACGTGTCATGTACAAATAAATCGACTGATGGCACTTCGCCAACTGTACATCTGAATTCCTTACAAACAACGTCGGTGTATTTATGCATTAAAATGAATAAACATTGCATTTATTATTTTGTAATACGCAGGGAGAACACTGCCGGACTGTCTAAATTTTCGAAAGGCTGGCTACTTTTGCAATAATATCTCTAACGGCGCCTGAAAAAAAATTTATAATTTGAATTTTGAGATGTCGTTTTCATCTTAGCCGTTTTACCTCTTAAAGCTGCCCTTCCGTTAAATCCTGCAAATCCGGAACTCGCAAAATAATTGGATCGACACCTCGTAAAACCCACCGACCTTGACACTCATCCCGGATACCCCTCCCTTGCGGCCCGATGTCTTTTTCAATGCTCTCACCTCATTCTCAATCCACATTTCAACGGCTTTTCATCGTCCCTGATCTGATCTGACCCTTGGTCAATTCCCTTCTCTGTAATTGTCGGGGCGTCATTTGATCGGGTTGATCTCAAAGAATTTTCATAGGCTTTCTGATCAGAATCTAAAATTACTAAAATTACTAAAATATCGATTAATATAATATCTCGAATAATGAAACTCTCGAATCAGTATAATAACCTTTACCAAGTCCAGATCAGTTAATTTTGATCAACGCGCTGAATTAATCAAATTAAGAAAAAAAATCGAAACTTTAAAAACTTTAAAACTTCAAAAAATTTAAAATTAGAAAAGCAGAATTCCCGATTATATATCAATTTCTATACACTAGTCATCGGTCCGGGAGAAATCTTGTAGATCGATATTCCCCAGTCGAGGTTTTCAGTTTTCGAAATTTGGGCTAGTGGAGATTCCGCCACTCAACATTCCGTTAATCGAGATTTTTCAGCCGAGATCCTAATACAATTCCCTTAAATCGCATCATCCTCTTTGTTGACTACAATTCATTCCATTGATCAAAGGGAGGAAGGGGGGGTGTTGTATGTATGTGGTGGAAATCATGTTCCCACCACGTAACGTTCGCCTACTTTTGATTCTCAAAGGGATCCCGCAACGCCGCCAGCAGGGGTTAGTCATTTTTGTGCCCCGGGGCGGGCGGAGGGCACACCGCCTCAACAAATGAATTCCTATTTTTTCGTTACGATCCGATAGGGATACGGTCGATGCTGGTTTTTGGAAGTTTTTGTACAAATTCCAGCAATTCTAACTAGGGAAGTATCTGAACTTGCCATCGAACCTTGGGAAGTCAGATACACCATTCGACGCGCCGTGACGCGAGGATTCCAAATATGTAATAAAATCAACGGGAGCGCATAACGGTAAAAAGTTATGAGCATTTTAAGTTTTACTTTGAAATCCGCCGCCGCGAGAAGAGCCCCTCTCAGCGCAGCCTGTCCATCGGTCTCGTGGCCTAGTGGTGTGCGCATGGGTCTCTGGATTGTATGACCAGGGTTCGGCTCCCCTCACGATTTTTATTTTTTTGCTTTTTGACCAGTTCCTACTTTTTGCATGTCCAAACTCGGGAATAAGTTTTTCTTGACTGTGTGGCCCCTAAAAAGCACCAGCGATGATAAAATAACCTCCGGCAACAAAACCAGGATTGGACGCTTTCTATATCAAAGTTGGCAAAATCATCGGAAACCGCCCTTTTAAGGCTCTGTGCGAATTCGAAGAATTTAATTTTTCAAAAACGGAACAGTACATCTTGATCAGCAGAAAATTCCCTTTCGAATGAGCTAACTTACCTGCGCTTTACGCTAAATTCTCGAAAAGTCTTCGGCTAGCTGGCCATACCCTACCCTTACACTGCATTCCAAAAATATTTTTTGCGGAAATTTTTGGCAGCCGTATGTAATATAGCTCATTTGAAAGAGCTTTCTTTGTTGAACAAGGAGCACTAATCAGTTTAGACTAAATTCCATTCCGCGGGATAATACAGGGTCTCAAAGTTGCTGTTTTTCGTCATTTTGCCGACTTTGAACCGTCATAACTTTTTACCGTTATGCGCTCCCGTTGATTTTAATACATATTTGGAATCCTCGCGTCACGGCGCGTCGAATGGTGTATCTGACTTCCCAAGGTTCGATGGCAAGTTCAGATACTTCCCTAGTAAGTTCCGTCAAGAATTTCAAACCCAGATTGCCCGTACACAAAAATCCCCCCGGATAACCCGGGCGGACATAGGATATCCACAGCGGCGCTGGATGGGTGTGCCATTGTTCCGGTCCCCTGGTCCATGTCGAGGTCTTCTCAAGAATTGTGCCCTGTCCGTCGTCGCGTCGCCCCCCACTCAACAGGGCGTCCATTGTACAGTCCCGTACACGGTGCAGCCCCCCCCCCCCCCTATCACTTGACATCACACGCATCGTCAGGCCAATGTTCCATTCTTCACCCCATGGTGAATTTGACCGCTTGGATGGTTCTTTAAAGTTATCAAGCTAGGGAGACTGAAGCTTAGCCATTATGGAGGTTTGTAAACGGGCTGGGAACACCGCTTTTCTCTTCTATGTTTTAAGGTTCAGGATTCCATAAGAATTTTGTTTATTCCCACTTCCCGTAGCTGCAAATTTTTCTTCAGAACTTTTTGAGCCGGCTGTTTTCTAGACAAAAACTAAATTTTAATAGTGAAAATGGTTTTTTTGTAAAAATCTGCTAAATTTGTAAAATAAACGGGCTGTGAAATTTGTAAAATTAATAAATCCGGTCGGTCTATTTTGCATCCAGTGACCTTTCATCCCTATTAAAAAAGGATTTCCTTGAGGTTCTGAGGAGCAGAACAACCTCACGGAAACGTGCAGCAGGGCGCTATATTATTTAATGAATTAAGTGGGGCCAAGCAGCACGCGACGCGCTGCGTCTAGCAGCTGCCGCAAAAGCCATAGTCCACTTTCCCGTCTCTTTAAAACCATAAATGCCCGTAATTACTTTGTTAGCAACCCCACCACGACCCCGTCCCTACCCTCAATATACTGTTATTACCTCCCTCCTCCTCCCAAAAAATCACCCCATTCCTGTAGGGTCTCGTGTCACAACCCCCCCCCCCCCATCCCCAACAGGTAAACCTAATAAAAAGAATGAAGAGGGTATGGGGGTGGGAGGTAGTAAGTAGATGGGCAACGGAATGGATAGAGGGTGGAAAACATGTCAGTTCCCTGTCCTGTCCTCCCACAAACAGACCTCAAGGCTATCGGGGGGCTTGTCGGCACCAGCCCCAAACCAAGCCCTCACGGAACTACGATCAAAGAGGAGCCGATTGTTTTGACGAATTTTTGGGGGTTTATATATTTTTATATTGTGATTTAAGGCTATATTGAGTCTAACAAATATTTGGGGGTTTTTCGTGGCGCATTAGAATTTTATTTTATTCTTTTCTGCAAGTACTCAATCGCATTGGTTGATGTATATTTGAATGCAATTAAGCAAAATTATATAATGACTCAAAATTTAGTAAAAATTTGCAAGAGGCTTTTAAAAGGCTAGAATAGAAGCAGCCTTAAAAAAATGACTTCCCAAAATTACTGGCACCACAACAGCTATGCTAGTTTGATAAAATCGTTTCTGTCATAATTTTTTTCTATTCTTATAAAATTTTTTATATTGTTTTAAACAACATAGAAGAGGTTTCTAACCAGTTTTTATTTTCTTCTTCCATACCTATGTCTATATATCTAATTTGGTATGTGATGACTAATTTCTGCACGTAATCCTTTTTTCTAAGTTCTTTGTCGAAAAGTTCGGCTTAAACCCCCAAATTTTTCGCCTATATCAGGTTTGCCATGTTTCTCAGCATCGTCCATCCTACCCTCCGTCCCTTTCCCCCATCAATCCAATCGCCTGGGAATAATTGCATTGACGGTGCACAATACTGTGTTCCTCTTAAATATTTATTTGAATTTTTGACGTAGGAATTTTGTTCTGTTTTTTTCAGTTTTGACTTACCTTACCGAGACGTCACCACAAATTTTGTAAATATTAATTTGTAAAATTTTAAATAACTAGGGAAGTACGTGAACGCGTTTTTCGCCTATAAAAATGCTGAGTGGAAGTGTCTTTGCATGACACTCGCTTCCCACCTTTTGCTCCCGGGTTCGATACCCCGCCCTGACAGACACCGCTAAATTTCCATTTTTTTCAAATTTTTTGCTTTTTGGTTTAGCTTTCTTACCGAGTATAGATCTATAGAGGTATCCGTTCCGTAGATGTCAAGTCGCCCAGAAATCAAACAGGCCTCTACGGGGGCAAGAAACTATGCTCGCAGCATTCGCAAACCTCTACTTCGACCTAGCATCTCTGGGAGCAGAAAGGAAAAGGGAAAAGCAAAAATTTTGCATAAAATTTGGAATTTCAGTAGGGTGTGTGGATTTTAAAACGGATTTTTAATCAACCCAGAAAGCTATATTGGGTATAGTTTTCCGTTTTTCTAAAGCAATAACCAGTTGCCTCGGTTTTTAGTTTTTCCCTATCTGGGCTTGAATATTAATAATAATAAAAATAACAATAATAATATAATCAGGGCACTATTTACCCTTCCCTCCAGTTATTTAGAGGTCATGTTGTCCCGGGGAGGCCCGTGTTCAAGCTGATAAAAAGGGTATCTCCGGCCCCCATTTTTATCATTTCTTACTTTTTCAAATGCTGTAAATTTCCGTTCTTCCTGTTTTCGGATCGCCGCGTTATAATTGCATCAATTTAGATAATGGGCAGAATATTTCTGGAGGATTGGTACGACTTCTTTGCGCCCGGTGAGTTGAAAAAAGTGGTTTTATCGAAAGAATTCAGAAAAATCGTGGCCATTCGCGTTGTTGTGCTCGATTCTGACGGCTGTATTCTTTTTGATGATTCTGACGTGTTCGTCAATTCATTATAAGAGGTAAATTTGGAAATTAAATTTGGGTCCTATTTTCTTACATTAAAAGAACTCAAAACATGACTAACTGGGCACTTGCGTATTTTTAAAAGTTGTATCCAGAAAAATGAAAGAGAAAGCTATATGAAATTTCCCGAACATTAAATTATAAATATTTATTGAAAGTAATCGTAGTATCAAGCTTTATAAAAACTTGATTTTCAGGATTTTATCTGCGCCTAAAACCTTTTTTCAGAAGAAACGAGCGCACCGCGTCATTCAGCTTAAAAGACGAACTGGCCACACCGCAAAATGTCTACTATTAACGCGATGAAAATATAACATTGCTTTCAATTGCTTTTACCACTTTTTTTTCTATTACTCCGCTCAAAACACATCCGCATTTCCCCCTCTTCTCCCCCGTTTCACTCCCGGCGAATCGTTCCGTCACGATACTCAACACTCGAATATATTCATTGTCATTACGAACGATTAATGGGAAATTTTTATCTATGGTTTGTGTTGTATAGAATAAACTGTGTGCAAAACTCTGGGTGGCTACCTACAGGGAGTTGGTTGGGGGGGTGGTAATCGGATCTTATTGGGTAAGGGGGGATACTAGAGCTGTCTTTCTTTTTAGGTGTAAGATTGGCATTAGACATTCGTACAGGTGCCTAGGGTAAACATTCCACGCCTATCCACGTCGCAAAATGGTTGGGTATTACGTGGGGTTGGGTCAGTTGTGGGGAGCGGTCCCCTCGTCCAGATTTCTTCGGTTATGTTAAGATGTTCAAAATGTTAACTCCTAAAGATAATCAATCTTACGAAGCCTTACAAAGCATAATATAATTTTTTGTTTATATTGGTTTATTAATATATACGCTATATCTTCGAAGATACGCTACGATACGATATTATACGCCTTACTAGGCTACAATATTTTAGGTTACACCAGGACTTAAAATAAATTAGTTTCTTTTTATTTTGGGTCGTTATTATATACGCAATTTCTTCCAATATACGTTAGGATACGCGATGCTACGCTGCACTGGGTTACGACGTCGTGCGCTACAGTACTGTAACGGCAGGACACGATATTTTTTTACGATATGATACGCTTCGATATGCAATAATACGCGACGATACGTCTGACGAGATTTCATTTTTACAGTAAAAATATCAAACAAACATAGAGTTGTACTGGGAAGCGCCAACCCCACGACCAGCCCATGGAAAGACCCATTTTCAGTCGGCTCTCAAGACCCAAATACGGATATCGGACACCCCCAAGGGGGCAGGGGGCCAACGGAACGCGCCGCGCCACCCGAACCGGATATTACATACTTTTTCGGGACCAAATCTCCATTGCCCCCAGTTTATATACGCATTTTCTTGGATTTTATCGGGTTCTTAAGAGATTTCCTTATGTCAAAAACGATAGTTCGGCGCCAAGTCTAAGGCCTCCCAAAAAATGGGCTCAACTTGTTTTTGCCGTTGTTCCGCTTTCTATTTACAGTGCGGCGATCCCGATCGGAAAGGTTGAGAGAGAGAGCGACAGAGAGAGAGAGAGAGAGAGGGGAGGGTGTGAGGAGGACCTGCCAACCCGGTGAGAATCGATGGGAAAACTGTGTGGTGGTCGTTGGCGGATACTTTTTCCCAGTCTCGATTTTTCTCGCCATTTTGCAAGGATAATATCTTGGGTTGGGAATTGATAGTAGGATTGATAAGCAGGTAGTATTTTTATATTTTTGTGAATCAATTTCCTGTCTAGTATGAATTTAATTTGGAACCTATAATCATCATCATAGCTTTTGAACAGCCGCTAACCGCTCAACTTTTTTTGTGAGTCATCTGACTGACCAACCAAACGATACTTCCCACTTCCCCGTTCTACCCCGTCCCAAATGCCAGCGCAAAATGAATTGTTTTGGTCGTCCCGAAATGAGAGGAGACGAACAGACAGCTGTAAACCCGATAGCCGCTGATCAATCTGTCCACGTCCACTCACAAATGTTTATCTTTCCCTCTCTCCTCAATTTGAGCGCAATTTTATGCACCACAATTTCATTTTCATTCCTCACAATGGATTAGGGTTTTTCACAATTTTTAGCCTTTTTAAGTTATATTTTCAATAGATTTCTAGGAATTATGATGTCGGCGACGCGGGGATTCTTGTTGATACTTATTCTGGTGCCGCTTTTTGTTGGTAAGTTAATTTAAAGTATAAAATTTTATAGGGTATGTCAGTTCAACGCTTTTTGTTGATTTATAAAGATACAAGGACTGTATAAGTCGAGATACGTCGGGACTTCTGGCCCTGTTTGCTATTTGCCAAAAATCTACCCCTCCCAAATTTGACTTACTGTCCTTATCCCTTTAAACTAATAAATTTCTAAATATTTAGAATCGGCCAAGCGATGCTACTCGGGCTCAAAAGACAATTATAAGTCCCGGATTTGCGGCCTCGGAGAGAGCGACGACAAATATGTCTGCCAGAAATTCGTGTGTGAAGGTGGAAAATGTAAGGATGTCCGAAAGAATCTCATATCATAGCTTTTTTTTTTGTATTGTAGTAGTACGGTCTGCTTCCCTTCCTCCTTGAGTTCCAATCCCGTCCAAAATTACCCCGTATTCAGCCCCATTCATCCTCCGTACATGTGCCAACAAGAATATGGGCTGCTTGGCCGGGCCGGCCATCTGCAAATTTTCACAGGGCACCGGCTCGTGCTCCCGGTGTGAAACGGACAACTGCAATAGTTGAACTGGTTTCGTTGATTACGGTAAGCACTTTTAAAATCACTTTTCTTTGGTTGATTGCCCTATGTATTTTTGCGTTTTCGTGTTGTCCGACTGTTGCTCAGTCTTCTAAGGTTTTCAGAGTAAAATTTTAAAATTTTCGATTTTTTTAGGTAGGCTGACGGAAGTAATTTAATTTTTTATTTTTTTCAAAATTTTAATGCATGAACTTAGACGCTTCGAGCGAGGTCGATCTCAAAAAGCTGTAAAATTCGTTAATTACGGTATAAAAGCTCCGGCAGCCTTTTAAGTTCTTTTAGGTATAAATATGACTATGACTTTTAGTTATATTAAAATAGCGTATATTTTCATAATACATCATTAGCCTTAATTTTTGCAGCCCTCGAGAAGTGGGTGTCGCGTTCGTGTTCAGACAACGTGACATCCCTTCCCTGTGAAGCTTCAGCTGCCCAATGTGCTTCTGCTGGTTCGACGGGCCTATGCCATACTTGTCTGGGTGATGACTGTAATTCTGCCCCCTCCATTTCCTCCAAACTTATCATCCCTCTACTCACTATCTTCTTTTTCTACTTAAAATAGCCTGATTTGTCCGCACCGAAAATATTCCAATATCCCTTTGCTCTTTATTTATTTCTGTTTCCATTACTTTTCCACTTCACGTTGGCGATGCTTTACAATATGACGATTCTTTGTAGCTATATACTTAATGATAAATTTGATTCATATAGAGAATACACAAGACAGTTCTAAACTTACGCAAAAATGAAACTATCAATTACGTATTAATTCACAACATTAGCAAAAAATAAAAATGGGCCATACCGTGTAGAATTCGGTAAATTTTGGAACCTTCTGGAGTGCCATTATCTATAGAGGGGCGGAGCCGCCTTCTCAAATCTTATCAAATCTGCATATACCCCTGGGCTATATGACCTCATTCCATCCGGATCTGACAGCCCTCTGTCTCAACCTCGATTCCAAATTATACGATTATATTTTTGGTTAATACAACTCCTCATTTATATCATACTCTATAATTTTTAACATATAATCTGTAAAAACATTCACCTCCCAGTTTTATGAAATCGTTCAGCGCTTGTTTCCTGACCATACCCACAAATTGCTTCAAGTCTTTCCCCAATGTACACACAAATGAAGAAAATCAAATTCAAGTTAATTTAAGCATTTATTAATTAATTAATTAACTAAATTTAAAAAATTTTTAATTAGGGATGGGTGACCCATTCCGAACCCTTGCCCACGCGTCGATCGCCGTCTCACTCCTATCTACTGTAATCGTCATTACTCTCTCCATTTCTCTACACCAAAATGCCACCAATGCCCGTGAAGGCATCCAAGAACGAGCTGAAGTCCTAAAGGTGTTGAAAATACCTGTAATTTAATTTTGAGCGTATAGATTGTCCAAAAATCATTCTGGGACCAGATTCAATGGAACATCCGAAGAATGCCATGGCTGGGATCGGCCATTCGAACTCGACGTAGCTATGAGAACAACCCGGAGGGGAGACTGAATGACCAGAAGGGCGTACTACATCAGTGCAGTCGTAGGGGATACAGGAATTAGCCTTAGGATAGCTTTAGAATGTCAACGACTGGCTTGTCCGATGGGTCCGACCGGGAAAGAAGGGCCGACTGGTCCTGATGGTATGCCAGGGCTTCCTGGAAAAACTGGATATGTAAGTGTCTTCGCTTTGAAGTAAATCTAGAAATAATAAATCTTGGATTTTTATTTTTACTAGCTCTTTACTAGGATTTATTTCTTACAGCCGGGATCCGACGGTGAAGACATCGAACTCGATTCCCCTATCGAGCTACCATGCACAATTTGCCCATCCGGACCTCAGGGCCCACGTGGTGCTCAGGGTGAGCGCGGGCTGAGTGGAACCCCTGGAGGAAAGGGAATCCCTGGTAAGTACTCCATAAAACGAGAAATATTTTTGTGGAGGTCACCCCGGAAACCCTGGAATTGACGGTGAGGCCGGACCTAAGGGAAATCCTGGAACTCCTGGAAATGCTGGAAGACGAGGACCAAAAGGACCTATTGGACGGGATGTTGTTGGTGGGTGAACTCGTTAGTGGTGCTAGAGAAGTCGGACTAAAAATTGCCAGTTATAAGTCATTTTTAAAAAAAGAAGTATGTTGGCTAATGCAAACACGTTTTCAGCTGGTGAGGGAGTGAAAGGACCGAAAGGACCCCAAGGACCACGGGGTATGGCAGGGACTCGTGGTGTCCCCGGCCGTCCTTCTAACATCCCCGGGACTCCCGGACCGCCTGGAGGACAAGGAAAAATCGGAAAGACTGGACAGGTATTTCATCCAAATGCTTAAATAGAAATTCAAACCCCCTTTAGTACGGTCGCTTCGGTGATAAGGGAACTCCAGGAGCACCAGGAGATGCTGGACTACCAGGTAGTTTATTAGAACTATTTCGGTAATCCGTTCACAGGCGCGTATTGCCCCTCGGACTGTGGAGTCAACACAATTGTCGCTGATCTGGTTCCGCCAAACCCGGCCTCAAATCCTAATGGATATGATAAGCCTGAGGATGTTACGGTAGGAAACAACAGAGTGGTTAAAGGCGAAGAACGATTTCAGCCGAGAATTCGGACTGAAGACGAGCCAAAGGAGGGTAATACAGGGTATGATGTTGATGTACTCGAGCGTAAACTTCAAAAATCAGCTTCGAAGGCACAAGGTTAGCAAGCGTACGCAAATTTATGGCTTATTGTATACATTTCAGTGGAGGTCCCGAAGAGTCCAGTCGAATACGAAGAACAGGGATATCGAATGCTTTTCAGTGCTGCCTAAAGCCCATTTTGATAAATTTTTAAGGACAAGCAAAACCAATCTGTCCATTTTCTAACCACTCAGGTACACCTCAACATCCCCTGTTCCAATCATTTCCTTTCTTTCGTCCGCCTTATTTTCAGCACTCCCCGCAAGCTATCGCTTCTCCCTATCCTTCGAAATACACACACAAAGTGACAAATTGGAGCCGGTGTTCCCCGAGGAGCAGCAACCGGCGCGCAAAATTGCATCAAAGATGAGATCGAACGGGGGATGGGGCCCTGGCGAATAAGCAGCAATTGGTGGTGATCTTTCCGACTGTTGGGTGAAATGGCACAAGGTCAGGGCTGTAGCCACCAATATAAGTAGCGGCAGATGGAAGGTGGAGTATCAGTCGAAAGATCATGCTCAAGATTGTCGCTGTTCTTTGCTGCTTGGCGGTTTTTGTGGCTGCCGAGAAGGGTGAGCATCATCATCGTCACGAATGGGTAAGGGTTTTTAGAATTTATAATCTTATTTCAGGTTTTTTTTTCAAGAATTTTTGATTGTTCTTGCTATAAATATTTATTTTCAATTATTTTGAGTTCTTAAATGTTCTATAGCATAGTGTTGACGAAACCCTCAATAATAACCTAAAAATCGATTTTTTTTGGGGCTTTACTGCTAGGGCAGTTTAGATAAACCTTTGCCACGGTTTTTAAACATAAAAATATACCAATACCTTTACAGCTCGACAAATTCGTCGCCAACCTCCCCGAAGACCAACGCAAACAGGTTGAGGCCATCCGCAGCAGCACGGTAGTTTATTGATGGCTATTTCTTATAAGTATAGCTGTAGACTGACCGCAAGGAACGCCGCGAGAAGCTCCACAAATTCTTCGAATCCCTGCCCGCTGACCAGCGCCCCCATTTCCCGGTTCCCAAGTTTATTGAGAAGCTCCCGGCTGATGTTCAGGTACCACCCTTAACCTTAAACATTTGATATAAAATTTATAGGAAAAAGTGAAGGCTGTGCGTGAGGATAAGGCCCTCCCTCCTCGCGATCGTTTCAAGAAGATCCGGGTAAGTGATACGATCCCTTGTTGTTTTAGAATCCCTCGTTCTCACTCTGTCCCTCGCTCTCTTTCTCTCTGTCTCTCTCCCGCTCTCTCTCTCTCTCGAAAATACATATAAATTTTTTTTCCAGGAAATCCTTGATGCTCTCCCCGAAGAACAGAAGAAGCTCATCCCTAAGCGTGGACCATTCAAACAGTAAGCTCCACATGCCATATGTTTTATTTCCTAAATTTCCAGCGGACACGTCGACAGCAGCGAGGAGAACTAAAAATATTGATGTGGCGCCTGTGAATATAATAAATTATGTAATTATTTGTGTACTATATAATCACCATTAAACAGAGCAAAGTTGAACTTTTGATTGTGAATCATTCAATCAGTGGATTGAACGTAGAGATTGGAAAGAGAGGTTGTTGGGTCATGTGAAGAGGGCCGCTTGGTGTAATGTGCCCTCGGGGGGTTCTCAATCGATCTCATCATAATCAACGTTCACATTGCATTGTTCGGGATGCTATCTAAATATTGGTTATTCACACTTTTTGTCGTTGGAGGTGGGTTTTCTTGCATACTGGCAATTTTCCAAAGCTAGAGGAACTCACAGAAAAAAACTAGATATTTAAAATACACTTAATTCTTAATCAGCGGCTAATTACAGCATCAGCGTTGGGATGTATGCCGCAGATCTGTTCGAAGAATGAGGAAAACGTGCTGAGGGGCTGCCCCGATTCTGATGGAGGATGTGGCCATTATCGGGGAGAACGGTAATTTTGAGTGTTGTCTTTCAATTATTCTTCAACGGGCATTTTATTATTTTTAAAGCAGACTTTTTATCATTTATATTAGTCAAACGAGCCTTATACTTTTCAATCGCTGAAAAATCCCTAATAGGAGGTCAAATAGTTAGATTCCAAATTATACCACCGGTTTTTATCACTTCAAAGATTTTATCCACCAAAGCTCAAATCTATTTTCTAATTTTCCAGTGCTGATGGAGAAATCGTGACGGCTGTGGATATCCTTTGCGGTGCTGGCGCCATTGTTCACGCCCCATTCGACGGAATGATGGAGTTCTGGAAACCGTTTGGAAGTAAGTTATCAAACAAAGACCATCCTTTGTGAATAGACTAATTTCGCTAGGGGAATACCTGAACTCGTTTTTCGCCTTAGAAAAAGGGAAACGCTATCCGACGTATGCCTGCGCCGATCAATTATATTCCGTGTTGAAACCCACACACAGGCCCGTAGGAGGGGGGGGCCCTGGGCCTGGGCCCCCGAAATCGGTCGAGGTCCGAAAAATTCATAAGGGGGGACCCTTATGATTTTTAGTTGCAAAAATTTTTCTGCCTGCGGCGCTGTTTATTACTGTTTTTCAAACAGTTTTTACTTATATGAAGCCTATTTTTTCAAAACCAGGGTTGAAAAACCGCTTCGCGGCTTTTCAACCCTGGCCTCGTCTAGGACCCGTGAAAGTCCTCAATTTGCATGTTTCTACCTGAATCCAAGCAAGAAAAAATGAAAAACGGTTCCTTTGTCCCTTTATATAGCCTCTTCCTGCTTCCGGCGCATGCTAATTGCCCCTAACAAAGAGGTTTTTAGAAATCTTTACAAAAACTCAATTTTAATAGCGAAAACAGTAATTTTTCAACACTTTTATGTGTGTGCACTCATCTCGGCACCTTTACGCACCTAATGACGTATCAAACATACCTTAAAAACCTTCCCCAGAAGCTGTAGGTGCGGTACATACTCACGGAAGTTGCATGCAAATATACACACACACACAAACACTATCAACTATAATAATTTTGCTGTGGTGTCTGTCTGTCTGTCTGTCTGTGCGTCATGTCCCAGATTCAACTCGAAGGGGAAAGGAGTTAGCGCTTTTCGGATTCGGATAGAGCGTCATCAGAAACCCCCAAACTGATAAAAAAATTACGAAAAAGTTTTAATTTAAATTATTAAAATTAACTTTGAAAGTTTTTCCCTTAGTAAAAGGGGGGGGGGACGGAGGTTGGAGTGATTTTGGGCATAGTGGGCCAGGGTCCCGCGGGTTTCGGGGAGGGGGGGGGGGCGGGGAGGCCCGCCCGGCCCCCGCCCCCCGCTGCGGCGGGTTTTTTTGATAATATATAATTAATTTGGGGAGGTCGCCCAAATTTTTCCCCCAGAAATGGGTTCCGCTACGGGCCTGCCCACACAGTAAGCGCTTTTCAAAGTAGAAGAATCCTTTGAAAAAGTCCATTGAATCTACGCAGCATTATGAACTGGTCCACTATTTGGATAACCGCGCGGAGTGGGGGCGTCCGGGATATGGGGGCAATCCCAATAGGAGACTTTGCTAAAATCCCAATTTTTTTGCAAACCTTTTGCTTTTTGGTTTATCTTTCTCACCGAACATGGAATTATCGAGGTATCCGTTCCGTAGACGTCAAATATTCCATAAACCTAGCGATTAAAATACCTTTAGAAATATATGGAAAAGTATTTTTTTTGCCTTTACAGCCACCGCTGACAAGGATTGCGCTAACCAGGGAGTGTTGATCTACGGCTCCGGCCAATGGCAAGGTAAATATAAAAGAAAATTTGTGTAAATAAGTTAAATTAAGGTTATCACGTCCAAATCGGTAGTATCGCGCCAGAGATGTATGGTGGTAAAGTGAAGAAGGGAGATCCGATTGGAAAGTAGGTGCACATCTGAATAATTAATACTAATCAGTTTTAGACAGCTCACGCTTTAAACGTTTAAAAATAAACCCCTTAATTTTAGGGCAATCGATAGCTCCTGTTGGATGCCTTCAGAACAGCGGACGGCGAGCCCTTCCATTGAAATGCAGCTGTTCAGAGAGGGAAAACCAGTCGATCCTACCTTTCATTTGCAAAAATGTTGGTTTCTATAATCCTGAACATTTTGTTTTCAAGAAAGTGCGTATTTTATTGTTTTCTGCGAATTTGGACACGATTTTACCAGAATATATCAAATTTCAGGCATGTGCACCGGGCAAATTTGCGAGTCAAACAAGAAGAATGAACTCCTTGGAAACCCATTCCATTCGGACAAGTGCGTTAAATATTTAAACGATCAAATTCGGATGGTGTTCCTAGACGGTTCAACGGTGTTCGCGGCTGGGACTTGGCGTGCGAAATGCTTGAAGAAGATGGTGAACAACCAAGAGCTCCTCTGATCTTCTCTCCGATCGAGGGAGAGGTAACTTCACAGAGGAACATCGTTTTATTGAGTGGGCTCTAGCAAATCGGCCGCACCCGACTGACGTACGATGCGCAGGGGGCGTATTCTGGATGTGAGAATGATGGGGTGTTCATCGTCGGCAGTGGAGCATGGATCGGTAGGGGATAGGAGATCGAAGCTTACTGTACTACCCTCATTCTCAGGATTTGAGGCCCGCATCTACAACGTGCGCGTCAGGCCAGATATGGAATTCGGACGTCAGCATATCGTACAGGGGCAGCCAATTGCTTCGCGGCTTTCTTGTGATTCTGCGCCGGATACGATTTTCTTGGAGGTATGTAATGAGCCAGAGAGTGAGAGAGCGAGCAAGCGAGAGAGCGGGCGAGAGAGAGGAAGAGAGAGAGAAAGAGAGAGGTAGAGGCAGAGAGAGAGAGTGTGTATGTGAGCGATACCAAGGCACAGAGGAATTTTTCGTTGGTTTCCACCCTCTATTTACTAACCATTAATGGAAACGAAATTGCTGAACTTGTTTTTGCCATTCAATGTAAAAATTTTACAAGCTATCCTTAAAAAATATTATCCATTTTTGTATCAAAAACCTCTATTATCGTCCAATTTTTAACCTTGACGGCGCTCAACCCCAAACTCAGATGCGCTACGAGGGACGTGTCGTCGATCTCTCCGACATCATCTCGGCCAACAAATGCCAACTTCCCGATGACCTGAAGCTCCTCTAATAGCTAGGCCTCACCGCGCTCTGTCTCTATTCACATCGTCTACCTCTTTGTACATTGCATAAACGTATTTATTCTGTATTTATTCGTACCCAAATACCCCAAATGGGGGGAAGCCACATAGAGCCATTGACTTGGAGGGAGCACAGCCCATATATACACTTTATACACCAGACAAGCGGAAGGGGCGGGGGGCGAGGGGAGGGGAGGGCAGGGCAGGGGAGGGGAGGGGAGGGCAGGGGAGGGCAGGGCAGGGGAGGGGAGGGCAGGGGAGGGGACGGAGTCATATAAGCCAGTTGTGGGGTTAGTTTTTAACTTAATTTAAATGCATCTCCTTGCCAATCTTTTGAGCCGGTGTGGGGGTGTGTTTGAAGCGTCAGGGGGTAGAGGACAGGGTTGGTTGTAGTTGAATTTTGAATAGAGCTCCTTGATTTCGCTTTTTTTCAACAAAATCATACATACCAACCCTGGCCAAAACCTATGGAGTCAAGGTATGTACACTTACTACAGAAAGTGTGGGGGGGGGGGGAGGGGAGGGACAGGATGAAGCGGGGAAGGGCTACACCTAACACCCGCATTGAATGACCGAAGTTGGCGGGCCTAGAACCCTTTTTGGATTATGCGCGATCGCAAAATCACAACCGTAATACGAGTAGGAGGATTAGTAGGTCAGTTCATGTTTTTGCTTCTATTGCTTGGCAGTGGCCGCCTCGACCATCTCCCTCATCTCGCGCAAGGAGTCGAGAAGTTGAGAGCGGAAGCGGTGGCAATCCTGAAAAAGTAACCGGTTATAAAATTGCTATTTTTATGGCTATTATTTCCAATTTTCACTAATACCCACCGTATCCTTGAAGCTCTTCTTGCTGGAAATGTGGAAAGACATCATATCGCCGGTGGTGCCGATCGTGTAGCACACACCTTAAAAAAATTGAGTCAACGTCAAATTTCAACTCTAATACCGTATTTGCTGCCATCAGGGCAGGCAAAGGCTCCGGCAGGCCAAAACAGCTCGCGCTCCTTGTTCAGCACGGCGGAGTACTCGACGGACTGATGTTGCGGCGTCTGCGAGGAGGACAGGGCGTAGCTCATCGAGAAGACGTTGTCGAGGAATGGGGAAGACATTTCGTAGTACTTCGAGACGACGTACAGGCCGAATAGATGACGATCAACACCTGGAAAAGTGAGATTTTAGAAGCTTCAAAAAATAGATTTTTGTATTGGAAAGTTCCAAATACTAATACCCACCCCTGCCGGCCATCGCATTCCGATAGTAATCCTGGTGACGGTCACAAGCCAGCTTCAACAAACGCAATTTCTCCGCATCCGACGTCTTCTCATCGAGCATCGCGCGGACAAAGGCGCAACTCTGGTTGGAGCACGAGCGGACAGTCTCCGTACGACCATCACGGAACAGACGCATCACTGCCGGTTCGTAGGTCAGATCGAAACGGCCCTGGTCCTTGAAGTACGTCAACTGGAGGGCCATTTGGATGTAGGCGTCCGGGGAAACGCGGGCTTTCTTGATGAAGTCTTTTCCGTAGTCGAAGTAGACGACGGCCGCATTTTCAAAGTCGTCGCTGACAGCCTTGGAGACCGTGAAGGCTTGATCGATGGCGTCGCGGATCTGGAAAATTTTCCTAATCTTTGGAAGGATTTTTATGCATAATGACCAGGGCGGTACTGAACCGTTAGCAGGGGAAGAACTATCTAGGTGAGTTTTGGTCATTTTTCAGACATTTTAATCCAAAAAGTCAGGAATTCCGAATAGTTTTTAATAAGTTTTTTTAAAACCTAAAACTGTGTAAAGTTCTATGAATGCTAATATTTTGTTTAGACCGGGACAGGACTACTGGGAAAAGTTAGTTTCCCCCCTGCTAACAGTCCAGTACCAAAAAAAACTTCTATTTTGATTTTTAACGGGTTTTTGTAAGGTTTGTTACGTTTGAGTGGTAAAATACAGTCTAGGAGCCATTAGCCTCCTCCTCACCTCCTTATCCAGATACCATTCGGCCCGTTCAATAGCCGGCACTTGCTCAATGACTCCAGCCGCATGTCCATCGGGAGTGTAGAGGTTGGAGAACTGTTCGTGGTACTTTATATACTCCCGAATGTGCACGTAGATCATCGCATCGACCACCGAATGTTCGGCATTTGTCGTGAACTAGAAAAGAAGCAGAATTAGAAGACGATTGATCCTCATACCCGTCCGTTCTTCGAGAATATCGACACAGAGGGCAAATCACACCACAGCTTGTACCCGTCGCCAGTCAATGTTCGCTGGTACTCCCGCTCGTACTTCGTAATGTCCGACTCGTCCCAGACCCTCTCCTCATCGTCGAAGTACATCACCTCCAACGCCGTTTCGATCATCGTTAGCGATCGAAGGTTGTATCCTAATAATACGTAATTAAATTATTTAACTTTGATACCTTCGTTGAACTTCTCCTCTCGAATCCTGGCCCAAAGCTCGCGAGGGCCGGCTGTCAGCGCGCCGAGATGGCTCTCACCCTTCTTCGGCTCATCAGTCCGTGCGAGCACATTCTCGAAGGCTCTGCAAGGCATCTCCGGTTTTAGTATTTACAAAATTAAATTTTTGTTGAAAAACCGATATTTTTGTATTTGTAGCAGATTTTAAAATTTCTACGTTTAAAAATACCAAAAAGCGGTTGAAAAATTAGATTATAAGGAATTTAAGCCTATTTATATTCAAGATCAAAATTTAAGTCTAATCAAAAATTCGGAGTCCTAGAATTACTCAAGAACCCGGTTTTCTGGTAAGGGTTACGGTACGGTACGGTACCTCTCCATCTCGGCCGGTCGCAGCCAACGTTTTCCGGTATGGATCGGCACTTTGTACCAGGCGCCCTTGTGGTTGATGGCGACATGGCGAGCATCAGCTAGGCGTTCCATCACATCTGCAAAGAGTAAGATGACGGTTTTATGATAGAATCGTACCACTAGTGTGCTTCGGAACACGGATCGTCCTGTAGTAGTCCATATATTGAGATGGGCAGAGCGGAATCGGGCCCAAGCCGACCCCTTTCGTCGTCTGCTTGTCGAAGTATTCGTGGCAAAAGCGCAGTCGGAGCCACGTCGTCACGGCGGCGCGGGCGGCTTGACTCGTCGTTGGCTGCCTGGAAGTGCTCGACATATTTTTATATTTTTAGTAAAATTTAGCTTTATTTGAAATCGAAAAATTTTTAGAAAACTGCAAAAATTCCTTGAAAATTAAAAATTTTAATTTGTAAATTTAATTATTTGTGTTATATTATTATTATTTATAGAATAAAATTAAAACATAAAATTTGAGAAATAGTGGTCGAGTTCCGGCGCTGTTCTTTTTAGTTCTAGTTGTTTTTATTAGGTTTTAAGCTTAGAAGCACTCTCACTATACAAAAAGTTTTCTAAAAATTAAAATAAAAATAAAAAATAAATTCTAAGGAAAAGTTCGGGGCCGTATTATTACGGGGTGTAGTAATAAAACCCCGAATTTTCAGCTCCATGAGTCCCTTACTTAAAAATAATATCGGCGCATCCGACGTTGGTGTTGATGAGCGAGTCCCGATAGCGCATGTAGACAACCTCCTTCCACCAGTCGGATACCCAATTCGGGCTGATGATCCATTTCATCCACAGCTTGTTCTGCAGCTGGCCGGCCATCCCTCCGTCAACGAAATCCTTGGCCTGCTTGCGGATGACGTCGTATTCTTCCTTCGACAGGAACGGCTCGACAGTCTCCAGGTACTAAAAAAACAGTAATTGGCATATCTTCTTTGTTGCACCTTGGGGATGGTGTCGCTGATCTTCGGGATGGGCAACCAAGGCAACAGGTTACGGTAGGAGAAGAAGACGGCGTGCCGGTTGACGAAGGACACGACCATCTAGGGGAAGGTGTTCGGTTGAATGGCTGTGTTTTACCATGAAAATCTTTGTTGGGAGGCTGGGTGGTTTGCCGATCTCTTCGAATAGCCATCCACGATAGTAGAGCATCACGGTGAAGGACATGCGGACGATGAACACCGCGCAGAACATCACCGGAAGGAGCACCAACAGGAACGAGATGCTTTGGGAGATGAGGATGCTGCTGAAAAAAAAAGATTGGATTGACTTTTTTAATTTTCTGATTATGTCAAGATAACTCGGTCTCACGGCAAAAAATTGGTATCACGATCGAACCTAATGACAATCCCGGTGAAGTCGTTGATGAACGAGACGGCCCCGTCAAGTGGCGAGAGGTTGAGGGCGTGGAGGAGGGCGAGCATCGACGAGACGTACAGCATCCCATTTGGCGTCAACGGGAACACCGCATTCCGGAACACCAGCTGAAAACAGAAAAGTTTTTTTTGTAATTGGTATCTCACTTTTGTAATATTAATTTTACCACAACCCCGAAATTCCAGATTTTATTTGATTTTTTGCCCAGACGTCACGTGCATGCGGTTGCGGGGAAAATAAAAAAGCTATTATCACGGCCGAACCTTTGGACTCGAAGCCCTAGTCGGACCCGTTCTCCCTCAAAATTAGATAAGCTATGAAGGTGTTGCCAAGCTTTGTAGCGTAGCCATTACAGTAGAGAAAAAGCCCGATGCTTGCCCAAAAGATTTTAGCTAGTCAAATGATACTTTAAATCTAGACTAATTTGCATCCCAAAGTAGTAAGTGCCGAATATTCTAGACTAGTGTAGTAGCACTAAGCCGAAAACTTTAACTAATGTAAAAGCTGATTTAAATCTAGCCTAATTTGCATACCGAAGCTTTACAAAAATTACGATACCTCATATTTGCCGAGCTGCCGGAAGTAGCGCCGAAGTTGCAGGTTGGAGAGCTTGTTGGGAGAAGCCATAGGGAGGGCCTTCTGGAAGAGGCGAATGATTAAGCAACTGGCGGTTTCTCTTATATTGGTGGGATCGAAGGGAAATTACGGGTGACTTCCGGTGGCTTGCGGATTCGAATTAGGCTGGGAGGCAAAGGCGGATTTTAGGTAATGAAGTGGAGGTAGCGGGTTGGTATATTTTAAAAAATAACAAAAGTAACAATAATCGTTGATATTATAATTTCGTGTATGTTAATGTTAAATTGAGATTGCAGGAATTAAGTACGTTGGCTTGAAAATGACAGTCTTTTTTTAAATTATTCTGAACTTTTAAAATGTCTTCTTGAAAACGAAAAAATAACTGATGGCTTAACACACCACCGAACCGTCGGCCTGTATCCAATCTAGAATGCACTGATCTTCGACTGTCAGGGGTTGTTGATATTTGGGTGGGATAGGGCGGGGGCTCACCCGAAAAGGGCCTTTTATCAGTGATGGGAAGGGGTACGATAGGAAGCCGCTGAGAAAGAGACGCTTTTTTGAGTCGGTGCAATATACAGTACTCCGCACTTTCTAGGCTTTGAAGGTGGGAAGAAGGTAGAAAACATGGTGACGAGGTTGAAGAGGAAGCAGGTAAATAGGTCTCAAAGTTTCCTTGATCGAAGCGTGGGCTGAACGCGTACGTTCAGGCAAGTATACGGCAAGATACTACATACGCAGGTACTTCCGCAGAGATATTCAAGATCTAAATTTGCACTTCAAGCTTAATCCCGATACGCGGTGTCTTATATTACAGTAGTACCATCACATGGAGCTACCTCACAACCTCCGAATGGCAATACTTAATGTGTATCAAAAAATGTGGTCTAAACCTCCAATACAAAACCAGTCCATCGAATAACTCAAAAAATGGGCCACCCATGCAGGGCACCCTCCAGATTGGAAATGATGGTGGAATGGGTGGACGGGTGGCTGGGCAAGTCGCGACCGAGCTACCTCCCATCGCAATCTCTCTCGAATCTCTCGCCTACCCTAACTGTCCATCCTCTCTCACTCTTATGCACTGCCTCAATCTTGGGGTCAAAGTCCGGCTAGAGTCCAGAGAAAGGGCAGGCAGACAGACGGAGCTAGACCTAGCACTTGGAGCCTATCCAACCAGCGTGTGAGAGGGTTGAAAGGGGGTCTAACAGAAGTCTTTTGAGGGGACGGTCAATTCTTTTGGTTTTTTTGGTTGGGAGTTTAAGATAGGCGCTGCCGTATACCAGGCCTTGTACGACAACATGCTGGAAGCCTTTATTTTAAAGCGAGGGTCACTAGAATTTTCTGGCTTCACAATGCCTTCTACCGTAATTTTGCAAATTTAAAGAGTAACGTTGGTTGAAACTCCCGTTTTGTAATTTCTTTGTCTTTATAGTTTCTTTTATAGTTTTTTAAATTATGGTCTGGTAAAATAGCCATAATTTCATGGCGAGTTCAACACGGAATGGCTTAATTGTGTAATCTAGCCAAAAAGCAACCTTGGTATCAACTCCAAATGTTTCAGATGTTTGTCTTTGTCGTTTCTTTCATTCGGATTGTCTAAAATCTAGTTAACTTCATGTTGGGATCAACAAAGAATGGCTTTGCTGCACTGTTGTTGTCTGTAGAACCAAGGGTTCGGTCGCCCAAAATAAGGGAGTCTCCCTCGGGATGGCCCACGAAAAACAACAATTTCTTCCTGCAACACTTCACGGCCGTTTTTTGCAGATAGCAGACTGATCAAAAGCCCGACAAAATCTTGGAAGTATCTTTGTTATCCCTGCTAAGATACCGTAACCTGAAATCACCGCTTCGCCGTCTTTCAATCCCGAGAGGTTGCATCCAAATACAAACAGAGTCGTGTTTGGCGTCAATCCTCATTTTTTACAAACTCTTTTGTCAGATGGCAACCATTAATTGAGTGCAGACTCGATCCGTTTTCCCAGGGGCTTATCAGGGTTGAAGGGCAGCTTGCCCATTTGGATGGCTACACAGGGTTGAAAGGGTCGAAAGGGCGATCCGAGGCGACACACACACGTGGATTTCGAGCCCAACATGCGAGATTTTGGAGACGGGAATGCAGAAAAGAGAAACAGACAGAAAATAGAGATGATAAGTGCTTGTCGGGGGGTCAATCCTCGGGGGGCGAAGGTCGATTTCGGCTCGAGAGGATGGGGGGAACACAGCATGACGCAAGCACGATACCCACAAGTTTCGGGATATGGGTCAGGGATGAAGGGGAAATAAAAAACGATAAATAAACTATAAAGATTCTATTAGAGCTGGGCTTCCTTAAATCAACTCCGAGGATGGGATCAGGTTTCGGTTTCAGCTGTCAACCATGAAATTACTTCATTAATTAAGTAATTTTTCAGGGTTGTTCATAAAATACATATTTAAGTCAGCTAATCTAGAAAAATAAAAACGCTTGTTTTCCGCCTTTTCGAGAGCTTCGATGGATACCTAAATCGTAGAAGCCGGGCACGGCCGGGGCCGCGAGACGGTAATTTTTGGGGGCACTCTGTATAGGGTGATTGCATTTGAATAAGACCAGACATGACCAGAATAACCCATTTCATTAATTTGTGTATTTCTATAAGGTTTCTTACTGTGCTTTTACTACTAGTAGCTTATTACCTCACCCTTTTCTTACCTTACTTTAGCCTTCTCTGATGTGCTTTTCGTAAGGTATGCAAGTACCCAAAAAACTTCTTTAACTTTAACAGAACTGCCCTTTCTATCTACCCTCCAAACTCCATTTGTTTACCGGTTGACACGAGCAACAGACGCGCCAAAGGGGCTGACCCTTTTTAGGCGGTGCAATTACGGTAGGGGTCGAAGTCCGATGAGGGAACAGACAGAACGGGGAGAGGGCAATGGATACGAAACAACGCAGAGAGCACGGCAAACTGAAAAGGGAATTCTTTTTACCAAATGATGTCCGGCGCCCGAACTGTCATTATTCGATTAGGAGCCATGGATTTTCGGGGAGACTGTCGATTCCTTGGTTGGGGTTTGGGTTTTGAAAGTAAAAAATTGATTAGAAAGTGTGTGACTGCAGTTCTGATATATCTTCAGCGAAGTGGAAAAGCCTGGAAGTATCATAGATTGTAAATTACGCGTAAGCGGACCTGAAAATGTGTTTCAAAGATCAGTTAGCACATCGTCAAGTCGGCTTCAAAGGATCATCAGAAAGTGGATTGAAAACAGTTCTAACTGTTCAAAAATTGCAACTTGCGGTTTGGCAGAACAAAACCTAATAAACAATTCCAATACCGTAGTCGCATTGCTTTCTGGTTGGTCTGACGCATACATAACCGAACAGGTTGCCCCATTATCCTGGCATGCCAGATATTTAAATTTTTGGCTCGCAAGCCAGGGCATTTTCGTGTGGCAGTTCCATTCCATTCTTACCGTATGGTTTTCTTCCGCCGAGTAAATGTTTATTTTTAAGTTTTGTGACCGCGGCATATAACGCTATTGGCCGTTTCAAACCTTAACTAAATGTCTTCGTGTAAATCTCAGCGCTTCCCAGCCCCTTTAAAATTGGAAAACTATGTGAACTCCCGCAACACCGGCCAATTCAAACCACCAAAAATCCTAAACTCCAAAAAGGATTTCACACCACCATTTCCGAACCACTCCTTTCCAGAATCCGCAAAAATGCACCCGCTGGTCCCTTCCGTCTTTAGTATTGGTACGTTGAAGGTGTCTCTAGCCTAGGGGCCTTCTGGACGAATGGACCCAATTTCCGGACAGCCCGCTAGTGAAACGCCCATCGCTCACAAACCGCGGCTACCAATTCGACAACTTTTAGATATTTTACGCTGCGGTCTGTGATTTTTGAGGTTTCAGGGCATTCATGTTCGCTTGAGGGCCATGCTTCAAATTTCAGTGCTTCGCTTTTATCAGCCCCCCCCCCTGCTAAACGGAAAGCACCCAAATCTCGTTTTTCACTTTATATTTTGGGCCTCTTGGCCAGACCGTCAGTTCCAAAAGATGGAAAGCTATTTCGCTGAAACTTTGTTGGAGGGTAGAATGTTTCGCGCGGGTTTTTTCTCGCGGTACGGGTTAGCTGAATGGCGGTGGGCCGTTGGCGAGGGTTTCTGTTTACCAGTACTGCCGCTATTCGGGCGCGCTCTAATATTGACTGTCGGTCTTCTGGTGGGATGGATGGTTGGTTGGGGCCTACAGTTTGATGGAGATGGCATTTTCACGTCGGTGGCGTTGGCATGGGCAGGAATTGTTAGAATTATATTTCAAGGTATCTTAAGTTCAAAGAGATCTTATGCTTATTTAAAGGGATTGGCAAGGCATGGATCCTTTTGGTCGTGATAGAATTCGAGTCGTGGTATAATCAGAGGGCGAGCGTGTGCGTTGCGTGTCGCGTGTGCATCTATTGAACTTCTAAAAGCATTAAAAACTGCTGATCTCTATACAAAATTCTTAGCCTTAATACCTTTTGTATATTAAAACCTATCCTACTCCCTTTCGCCTATACTTCTGCACGAAACCTACCCGTGTGTTGATGCCCTAGACCCAACAGACATTGACAACCTATAGATACCCAACACTCGGTTCCAAGAAGCCCTTCCCTCCTCCTCCTCCTCCTTTGGTTCCTTCCTTTTCCACCATCTTTTCTCGTTGAAGAAGCCGAGGGGTGAGGGATAGATCGGGGGAGAAAGAGGTGAACAGTTGTGGGTGGCTGGTGACGCAAAAAGGGCCCTCTAGGCATCCATTGTCTTCGGTGGTGTGGATCACCAGCTGAGATCTCGGTCGATCTATCGATTTAGACTTTGGAGAGTTTCTGGGTATATGTTTGAGGAAACCCAGAGGCATTAAGAGTAACAGATTAAAAATTATACGATGCTCTCTGTTTTCATCACGAGTGTTGTTCTTGGGCCTTTCGTAAAACCGCTGGGGCTCCCCTTACTTGCTCTAAACTCGAGAATGAGACGCTTTAAAGAAAGAGGGCATAGATGCTCAATAAAACAACACACGATTTTTGCTAA